ACTGCTAAATCCAAAGGTTAGCAGTGTGAATTTACCCAGGGGCTGCTCCGGAGAAACAGCTGGTGATTAAAAAACACAACACATAAGCCTGTTGTCAAGTGCAATTCACAGCATCCTGAAGGATGAGTGGAGTCACCAGTGGACTTCCCAGTAGGAGGCTCTGATGGCCTTGTAGTAAGGAGTCACTCTGCCAACCCAAAGACATGTGGTTCGAATCCATTCAGAGAAAGATGTTCAATCTATCTCACCTCCTGCTATTCATAGTCTCTGAAAATCTGGAGGATCAACTATGCGCTGACCTGCCTTGATGGTACATGACAATCTTTACGGAAGTCTCTCATTGCCCTTGAGCTGAAGCTGACTCGACGCGGACCTGCCGGTGGGTTTTCAGAGGCTTTAAACTGACCAGGAGGAGAGTTGGGCTTTCTCCCTTGGAGCAGCAGCTGCTGGACTTCAGCCCTCTGCCTTTGGGTTGGCAGTGTAACCCTGTACCACCTAGGCCAGCAGTTGGTGGCACTTCCCTTTATGGAAGGGGCTACCACCTTTTTCTCCCATGGAACAGCTGCTGTGTTCAAACCACTGCCCTGGCGACGAAAAGTTCTTAACCACTGTACCACCAGCCTCCTCTATAAAGACTACACCCCAGGAAACCCAGGGGGCATTTTCCCTCTGTCCCTCAGGGTTGGCAGGAGTAGAAATGGGCTTCATAGGTGAGCTCCGGTGGCCTAGTGACAAGAAGCTGCACTGTAATCCCAGTGCTGCGTGGTTCAAATCCACCAGATGCTCTGCTGGAGATGGAGGAACAATATCCTCCCGTACCAGTTAGAGCTGATTTGATGGCGTGCACACGTGCGCGCGCACACACACACACACACTTTTAAAAAAAGAAATAGACTCCATAACACCTAACAACAATAACAAATAGAAGCTTGCTGAAAAACACCGGCAAAGTGCCTGAATGGCTGGAGAACTGTGCAGGACTACACGGAATTTATACTTTTGCCCCACTCACATCATTATCAGTTCCCTTGGCAAAGTGCTGTCTACAGGCACAAAGCTGGATGGGTGCAGATAAGCAGTCAGCACTGTGGCCGCAAGGGAGGGGCCGCTGGAGTCTGAGGGACTTAATTAGCGACTCACGCGCTCGCCTGTCACACACAGAGGTCCCCGAGTGAAGCCTGTGGTTCTAAACAAAATGAATTTGTTGGATTCAGCTCAATGCCCAGGAAAGGGAGAGAGGAGTCCCCTACTTCATTATTTGCCATGATTGGCACCTCTGTGCCACATAAACTAAACTCCGATTACTCAACTCTTGTCTCCTTAATCAGAAGCAGCAGACGAGCTGGGCAGAGATTTTGATGCAGGAGAAACGGTGGCTGTGCACTACAGACCAGACGGTGAATGGTAACAATTAGAGAAATGTGATTGGTTGGTCCGCACACCACACACACCTCTCCTCAACCCCCCCCCCCCCCCCCGTCATGCACACAGAGTCCCGGGGCCACTCAACCACTTAGCATCCATTCACATGTTTTTTCGAAGCACCCCCTGGAAGGAAAGGATTGCGCCAGGCAAGGTGGAGGATGAAGCAGTAAACGGGCATGATTCTTCTCCAGGCAGGCTGTTCGCTTATTAAAAATTATAGAGGGCTCATCCTGGGTCAGACATTGGTTGGACATGCCACCATCCCTCCACTTTAGAAGACGGACAAGTAATCACATCATCCACAACTGCTAAGGAGCTTGAAGGACCCCTGGTGGCGGAGTCTGCAGGGTGTCACACTGCTAACGCAAAGGCAGAACCTCTGGAGTTCAAATCCACAGCAGCTCCTCAGGAGGCAGAGGGGTAATCTACTGTGGACTTAGTCTCAAAAACCCAACGGAGGTTCAGCTATGAATAGGTTCTGATTCAACAGCAATGAGCTTAAGAAGCGTGAAGGGAAGGAGGGGCAGGGGAGGAGTCTGGCAATGCTGCTTTGGGGTCTAAAGTCCAACTCATTTTCTCCGCAGAGACACTGAGTGAGATTTCAGGGACTAGGGAGGCTTCCTGAGAGGAGCTCTGTGAGCAGGGGATGCAGCCAGTGTTGGGGTTCTTCTGAGGAACATCAGGAACCCCGGCTACTAGAAACGTCATCGGAGCTGACTCTTCCCCAGAGGCTGGGTGAGTGGCCCCTTTTCTGCATCTTTTTAAGGAAGATCTGCTTTACAGCAGGGAGGGTGGCCCCAGACCTGTCTTCCTGTCTCAGCATGCTTAATTTATAGTGGGGTACTTAGATCCATTTACTTTGAAAATTCATGGAGCCTTATGAAGTCTGAATGTTATCCTTTCAAAACCAACCCCTAGTGCCCTTCCCTGAGTTAATGTCTTTCCCTGACTCCCTTTCTTCCCTACAGAAAAGCTGACTTGGGACTCTCTTGAGAGCTTCCTTCCACTCAGCTGGGTGTTTTGGGGGGGAAATACTCTATTTAGCTAGTAAATCCACTTGTTGCTAACAGTGGAACAAAGGGTGCTAACAGTGAGAGCTGCTTTCAGGCAAGTCGTCTTCAAGGTGGAATTAGAACTGTGTGGAGCAGGATGAGAGCATCCTGGATGTGAGGAGGCCCTGTGGACACCAAAGAGCGGACAGTAGCCAGGGCAAGCCCATGCTCGGCCATTGCACAAGGGACGTGAAGGACTCTGAGATAAGCCTGGGCAGATGCCGGCACCAGCCAAATGCGTGAGGACTTGGGACTTGGCAGGTAAGGACAGTCACTGAGAGGTAGGGCATTTATAGGGTCCCTTGTTCAGGGCTGTGCTTGGAGGAAAAGAACTGAGCTAGTTAGTGGTGCATGGGTTCGAGACCATCAGGGAGACCCAACAGTAGACACGCACAAAGCACTTGCTGAGGCGCAGAGGGACAGGCAGTGGGGTACACTGGGGACCAGAGTGCGAGAGGGAAGAGCCCCAGGATTCCCAGCCTTGTGATGCCAAACAAGAGGCAGAGCGGGCTGGGACACGAGTGACTGCTCCTTGGTCACTACCGTGGTTTCCGTTTTGCTTTGTTTGGCTGGTTTGAACCAAGTATATTGTCTCAGGAAGGAGAAGAGGTACAGCGTCTATGGGGAGGGTTTAGAGGTCATGCACATGGACATGAAGACTGATTCAATCCAAGAGGAAGGCGATTACTCTGCCCTTCCTGCTTTGTCTTCAGACACAGACTAAAGGCCTCCGGTCAAGGGTGGAGGACTGAGCACGTGGACGTAGTATCAGGTCAGGCCGTCCACACCGCACTTGGTCCTTGGCCCACCATCACCTTGACTCCTCTGTTGTTGCTAGGGGTCTTGTCCCCAGGGCCTCCCAGCAACCCTAATCCAATGGTTCTCTCTAGACTCATTTACCCAATAAAATCCAGGGTGACTGAGTCTAACTAACCTCTACTTCAATTCTCATCACCTGAATTGCCTAGTTGCATCCATTCAGGAAGCATTCATGTTCTCATGAGTGTTTGGTTTGTTTTTTTTAATGAAAAGATTCAGGCCAAATATACTACAAATGATTCATTTCCAATTGTCATTTAGTTTGCAAACGGGGTAAATTTGAATGTGTCTAAGAACAGCAAAACCGTTAAGACTCCTATAATCAATACAGAATAAATCAATTCATGTCATTGCCATATAATTTTATAGTACCTATATTTCTGAAAGCAGGAGTGGCATCCACTTCCTAAACAACATGCCTCTGGAGACTCTATGAACTTTGATAAATGTCTATAGTGAGAGAAAGGCTTTCGGCCTTTTGTTCGCAGGGTCGCTGTGAGTCGTGCTCGACTTGATGGCAATCAATAACAACCTACTATGTTTAGTTAAAGCTAATTTCATGGATGTACACATCACAAAAAGTGAAACCACAAAAAAATATGCAAGGCATGAAATAGAGATATTTAGCCTTAAAAAAAAAAAGCCACCAAAGTGCTTTACTCTGTGTACATTTATTGATTGCTGGGAATACAGCCTATTGACAATCCATGGCATGCATGTGCAAGAAGAAATGAACCGAACGTGAAATGAAGCCGCTTGCTAGGACAGCTGTGAACCAGCCGCTTGCTAGGACAGCTGTGAACCGGTAGGGTCACGCACACTGGGTATGAGGACACGGTGAAGAGGACCCGGACCCGGCAAGCTCCTATGGTTGTTATTAGGATGCCTGCTAGATTTCTTCTGAAACTCTTTTCATCTTAATTACTTAGGGACCACCAGGAAAGACCAGCCTGACATTTTAGCTTAAACTAAACAAATGATGGCACAGATTTGCAAATCATAGCCCTACTTAACAAAGAAAAAAAAAGTATCTATGGTCTTCATTATTTATTTCAATAATTATCTTATATTTCATTAGAACATTTCCACTTTAATAACTGTCTCATACCCATTTTTATATGCTACAGAATTTCAAAGGACAGATTTAGAAAGATTAATCAGTGAGCAAATGATTATATTCATTTGATCCCAGTATCAATTGCTCAATTATAGATCCTATTTTGAAACTAGCAAATTTTTATGACATAGTCAATTTTCCCCTGTGAGGTGTTTTTTGGTTTTTTCCCCTCAAAAAACTCATTGATAGAATAAAAGGATAAAAGAAAAGAATTCCAGTTACACTTAAAAGGAACAGAAATATAAAGTCACTGGAATGTCATAGAACACAATTAAAAATTATTTAAAAGTACAGTGTGTGCACAACTTAGGTTCTTACGTTGGATACCAAAATGCTGAGAGATGCCCAGAATTACAGTTACGTGCCTCATGTATGACCCAACTTTTGCAATGAGTTTTTGTTTTCTTAAAATGGTGGTATCAATGTACATGGTAAGTAATTTAGATAACTTTTTATGGCAGTAGAAATAAAATAAAAAAGGGGGGGGAAAAGAGGAAATGCATACTGTTGTACCCTAATAAAACAAAAAAGGAAGACGTTGGCCTTGTTTTACAAAAGCGGCAGCTATTTCCTTTCATGAACTGCGCTTTCTCCTCAAGGCTTTGGGGGGAGCTGGTTATGGTTTGCAACGCTGGACAAATCGAGGGTACAGACACACATCCCGGATGTGATACCTGTTCAGAATCCAAGTTAAGAATCGTTCCAAGCCTAGGCCGTAGCCTCCATGAGGGCACGTGCCGTATTTTCTCTGTTAAAAAAAAAGAAGGAGAGGAGTAAACGCCACTTTAAAATGTCATCAGAAGAGTTAAAAGTTTTTACTTTGGAAGGAGGTTGCCCAAGGTGGTTGCCAATTCCTCCCCTTCATCTCTAAGCCTAACGGACCAATTTTTAAAGAATAGAGAAAACAAACCACAGATTAATTACCACCCTATAAAGAAGAGATTTCAAATTCTTTAAGTCAAGACATGTTTATCAGAGGAAAATGAACTGTAGTACTAGATATGAAAAGGGTCTAATGACCTGGAATAGCAATACTGTGAAACTCAGTAACAGCAAGCCAGTCAGCTGCTTAACTGGCTTTCAGACGAAGTTAACAGATAACTTGACCAAAGGCAAAGCTGCCAATAGTCACTTGCCACAGTCAACAGTTCAACTCACTGCCATGGTGTAAGAACCAACTCATAGTGGATCCTTCACTGAATTTCCAAGTATAAAGGGCACAGGAGGATACTACCCCTTTCTCTCGCAGACCACATTAGGAGAGCTGTAAACCAAATACAGCCCACTAAACATCAAAGTACCTTGAATTCTCTCCTTGGAAAATTTTCAGTTTACACAGAATGATGATCGTGACAAATCTTTACGGAGTGTTAAGAATGTCTGTACCTGATCCGTGTACCAGTAGTAGGGAGTAGAGTCTATCCCTTCTCTCTTGTAGCCTGCCAGGAGCTCCTCACTATTCCAGATACGCATGGAGCCGCCCACAATCTCACCAACATTGGGCATCAACACGTCCACCTTCAGATAACAAGAGTGAAGAGAAAGCTAACCATTACTACCAGCAGGTTCTCTTGACATGGCACCACTTCATAATGTAAACAGAAATGACAGTTCAGCTCCCAGAGCTAAAGGAAGCACTCTGATTACTCAAATCAAATTCTATTCTTTAACAATTTTTAGCCCCAATCAGGAGTGGAAGAAAAACATCACTCCTTCAAATACTGTCATTTGATACTTATAATATTTGGCTCTGGTCTCAAACGGCAGCCCCTCAGCCCCTTAAAAAGCAAAATGACCGAGACTATGTGCATTGATGACTGACAGATTCAGTAAGGCGGGGGTCCTCAGGACATCGCTGCATGTAGAAAGACTTGATCTCTACAGGAAACCGACACAGCAGGATGGGTTCATTAATGGTGTCTGTCATCAGTCGCTCTGGAGCTTCCGGGATATCCTGAGGTTAAACAAGATTCATTAACACTTCCAGATCCAAAGGCAAGGAGACAGATGCAGCTCTCCCACCCACAGCCAGCCCCCCCCCCCCAACGCACATGTGTAATATATAGAACAACTTCTTTCAAAAAACAGCATTTGAGAACTCACAGCTACTAAGTGAACTGTGACAAAAAGATCTGCCTCTTTCTCTGGTGCCTCTCAAGCACCTTTCTGCTTCAGTAATAAAGAGTCCAAGAACAATCGGCCACTATCTGTCACTGGACACTGCTCAGCCCGTGTTTTCAGCAGTCAGTCTTACTGAGCTCCAAAGGGAAAGGGGCCCACTTCGTATCAAAAGAACTAAGGTGATCAGTGAGTGCTTCAGCTCATCAACAACCCCTACACCCTGGGTTCAGAGCACTGATCTCTAAGTTCTTCTTGTCTGTCATTTGGACTTCTTTCCTGTTACCTTAAATCAGCTATGCCTTTAATGAAAGTAAGACGTAGTCATGAGATAAGTAACTAACATCAAATTTATTTTAATGACACCATTAGTAGATGATGAATAAAGTTAATCTGTTTCTCTCTCAAAACTCCCTTCACTAAACCACTCATAAATTCAAATTAAAAACAAAAATTCCTGTCCCAGAAAACAGAGTGGAAACAGTGGTCTGCAGAAAAGGCGCATTCCTGTGGCTTAACGGACAGCAATGAACGCAAGGAGTCCTCGGTGGCTCCTGACGATGCAAGGTCTGCTACTGTCATTAGGCTAAGGACAAGCAAAGCCTCCTACATTACTGATTTACTAATCAGCACTAAGGAGCCCCTAATAGAAAGGTCAGTGGTTCAAACCAACTAACAGCTCCGTGAGACAAGGATGTGGCAGTCTGCTCCCTTTAAGATTACAGCACAGGAGACCTACAGGGCAATTCTACCCCATTCTATGGTGTCATTTTAATGGGCTCATTGGCACGCATTCACAGCGGCAGCCCAGGAAAGCACAATGCCAACTCTGAAATAAGGATCAGAAAGGAACACGTACTTCTCCAAATTCATAGAATGTGCCATCTTCTTTCTTTATATTGTGTTCTTTAAGCCACACAATGGCATCTGAATAGTTCATCCGCTTAAAAGGCCGTTTGGGGGGCTTGAATTTCTGTAGTCAAAAGGGAAAGCAGAGCATACTGAAAAGAAGTCATTGATGCCGACTCAAATGTCCATTTTTATAAAACAGTTCATCACTACCATAAAATATCCTCAGACTAGGACAAAATGCAGACATTGCTGAAAACAGAAAACAAATATGAAGCTTATCTTATGCTTAAGTTAAAACACTAGGAAAGTACTAGGCAGGATTAATCTCACACTTTTGCTTGCACTGAACGTACCGGGTTGAGGTCACGCACTAAGCTTGCTGCGGGGGACTTGAGGACCCTGTCCACCACGTCGCACACCAAGTCCTCCAATCGGCACAGGAGGTCCTCAAAGGTCAGGAATGGACACTCGGCTTCCACGTGAGTGTACCTGAAGCACAGGACGCTCTTCAGAGGTGCGCTTGAGTGGCAGTTTTAATGACTTGCCGGGAAAGGCAAAACCCACCCCTGCCAGCCCAGCTCCAACTCTGCAAATTAGCTTAGGCCCCTTCCTCCCGGGCGTGAGACGTCCCACTTCTCACCACAGAGAGGAACAAAGGACCATGAAAGAACTGAGCTTAGCCAGGGCCTGAGAGGCACAGCTTCAGAACACACCCGTTTGTTCATTTGTGCAATTGTCCTTCATGTTCCAGAACTTTTATACAGGGACATTATTTACCTTGTGGTTGTTGTTGTTAAATGCTGTCGAGTCATAGATGACTCATAACAACCCTAGGAATGAAAGACCTGAACACTTATATAACTTTCATCGTTTCTCCAAGTTCACAGAGTTTCCAGAGACAGGCTATTTTGGAAGTGGATGCCACTCCTGCTTCCAAGCTTGTTTTAATCGGGGAGCACCACCAAACACTGTCCACCCTGGGTAACCATTATCACATGTTTAGCATCACAGCAACCACAAGTTACCTCTAAACATAACTATTTCCCTACATATTTTTTTCTTTAAAGAGAGAGAGAGGGAGAGACAGGCAGACAGATAGACAGACAGACACTCCATTCCGTACTCTGCCAGGTGCCTCCGGGTTCGGGACTGCTCTGCCCTGTAGGACTGGGCGACACAGAACACATCACCAAGCGCTGGCAGGCAGGTCTCCAGGTAGAGCTGAGAGGACTGTGTCAGATACGCCTCCTCCCCGAAATAGTCGAGCTTGAAGAGCGTGGAGCCGCCTTCTACTTGGGTCTGCACTAGTGTTGGAGGCGTGACCTGCTCAAAGGAAAGGGGTGTCAATGAGCGCCTACCGAGAACACGCCAAGCAGCAGAGAAGAGCTCCTGTCAGCTCAGCAGAATAATGTAATATAATGCGTATATGGCAACAAGTTCTCTAAAACTGGCTACTGTGACTTGGAACAGACTCCTAAGCGACCCCCCAGTGGGTTTTCAGAGGCTGTAAATTGCCCAGGAAATTGCCTAGCCTTTTCTCCCTTAGAACAGCTGGTGGACTTGGGCCAACGTTGGGGACACTTCTCCTTACCCATGTGGACACCACAGCGCCCTTAGAGACAGACATGTGTGATTGCAGTGCAGCTTCTTCCCTTAATTTTTTTAACTATTGTTTTGTGTACCGTCAAATCGGATCTGACTGGTATAGGAGGAGATTGTCCCTCCTTCTCCAGCGAAGCATCTGGAGAGACAGACATGTGAAAACTGGAATTGACAAATGTCTTAAACCAAGAACCAAAAAGGCAGGTGTTGAGGCTGCTTATGTATAATTACATACGTTATGGGACCTCATTTCATGGAACGTCTCAATTAATTAGCCAAATAGCTCCTGGTTCAGAGCATAGTGCTTGGGTCTTATAAGCACATGGCCATGCAGGGTTCCACAACTACTTTCTATTGCCTGAAGAAAAAGAGGAAAGGAGAGGCAGAGGTAGAACGTGTAAAGGCCTCCAAGTGTCCCTCTTCTGCTGAGACCAGAAAACAGGATAGTGTCCAACTATGATAACTGAGTATATTGATAAAAGATTGTATGTTGCTGTTGTTATTAAGTGCCATCAAGTCACTTGTGACTCATAGCAATCCTACGTACAACAGCTCTGAACTCTGCTCTACCCTGAGCCAATCTTATTGTCTCTGACACACCTACCCCCATTATCCCAGGCACTGAGTCAATCCATCTCATCGGGGGTCTTCCTCTCCTGCGCTGTCCTTCCACCCTCCCAAGCATGACGTCCTTCTCTAAGGACTGGTCCCTCCTTGAAACATGCCCAAAGTATGTCAGAGCGTCAGAATCCTTGCCTCCAAGGAGCAGCTTGGTTTCACCTTTCTCCAGGTTAAACCTGTTTGTTCCCTTAGCAATCCATGGTATATTCAATACTCTTCTCCAGCACCACAATTTAAAGGCATCAAATCTCCTTCTATCATCCCTAGTCGTTGTCCAGCTTTCTGATGCATAACAAGTAATTCTGAAGACTATGGCCTAGATCAGGTACACCTTAGTCTCCAGACTGACAGCACTGCTCTTCAGTACTCTGGTGAGGTTGTATAGAAGAACCTTAACCAAACAGGGGGTGGGGGATGAAGAAAAGAACCTCAAATTCTCATGCAATTCAGATTTTCTAGAACCATGGCAGCTGGATAAATCCCCAAACTATTGCCTCTAAGCAGTCATTAAACCTCAAACCAAAAATAATTCCTGGGAATTACTGCTGTTATAAATTAAGCAACTGCTGTTCAATGATGTCAAGTTGGAACCAACTCACAGCTGATCCTTCAGCGTGTTTTCAGAGGATGTAAATTACACAGTTTAAATTAACTAGTGAAAACGCTCCACTTGTGAGCATGATGCTCTTATGCACTATCTATCCACATGGGATCAAAGGGACAAAAAAGATTAGACAGGAGCCCAAGGGGGCAGGTGACTGATGTTAACAGGGAAGAATTCATAAAGGAGGTAAGAAAACGGATACAGCTCACTGCAGTCAGCGTCACAGGGGTACATAGCCATCAAATGAGCGCTGATACAGCTCACTGCGGTCAGCGTCACAGGGGTACATAGACCATCAAATGAGCGCTGATACAGCTCACTGCAGCCAGCATCACAGGGGTACATAGACCATCAAATAAGCCCTGATACAGTTCACTGCAGCCAGCGTCACAGGGGTACATAGACCATCGACTGAGCACTGGAACAGCTCACCGCAGCCAGCATCACAGGGGTACATAGACCATCAAATGAGCACTGGAACAGCTCACCGCAGCCAGCGTCACAGGGGTACATAGACCATCAAATGAGCACTGCAACAGCTCACTGCAGCCAGCGTCACAGGGGTACACAGGCCATCGAATGAATGAGCGCTGATACAGTTCACTGCGGCCAGCGTCACAGGGGTACATAGGCCATCTACTGATCTGGTGTCTGTTTTGCTGTCCATATTCTCAATAACAGCAGGAGAAACCAGGTGGACTGACACTGTGACTGCTACAATGGGCTCTTGTGTGTCAGGAAGTGTGAGGATGACACAGAATAGAACAGGGTTCAGATCGTTTGTTCACGGGGTCGCTATGAGTCGTTCTCGACTCCACGGTACCTAACAACAACATGAAATCTAACGTTCAACAATTGTTCTGAAGCAAAGATGAAAGACTAACAAGGCTGGGAAGCCAGGAAACCGGAAGTGAAACATCCCACATGGAACTGAGGATGTTAACACATCCTGGGAAATGTGCCCACTGTCTCAGCAAGCTGTAAAGCAACAGTTAAATGGGAACCAAATTTGCTGGTGAATTTTCACCAAAAACACAAAAAACTTCTGTTTGAAAGAAAAGAACAAAGGAGCTGTTTAAATGAATTAGTAAAGAATTATGCTCCTTGAGGGGAGCACTGGTGGCCTAGTGGCAAGAAGCTGCACTGCAATCCCAGAGGTAAGTGGTTTGAATCCACCAGATGTTCTACTGAAGAGGAACAATCAATCTCCTCCTACAGCAGTCAGATCTGATTTGACCGCACACACACACACAAATAATAAAAATAAAATTTAAAACTTTTTTTAATTTTACAAAAAGAATATATTCCTTGAACATTTTCTTTTAAGATCTGTCTAGAATTAAATTGACAACAGCAACTCAAAAGACCAGACAGGAACTCCCGGGGACAGTGAGTTTATGTCATCAGGAAAGGAACAACGGAAAACAGGTGGGTGAGAATGGCTGCACAATCTGAGGAACATTGTCACTGAACTGTAACGCAGAGATTACGTGAGGCGGTGTGTGTGTGCTCTGCTCTGCTTATTTTTCATAGCAATAAAATAATAAATTCTTTGAAAAACATAAACATATTGTTAGCAAAAGATGCAGGAGACACACTGACCTCACAGTAGCCCCTGTCGAAGAAGTGGTCCCGGAAGCACCTGGTGACTATGGACCGGGCCTTCAGGATCTTGGACATGTTTTCTCCGCGGATCATCATGTGCCGGTTGTTGAGCTGGACGTCAACGTCCGACTCCTCGTTGAGCAGGTTATCAGCTCCTCCTGCAGGGGCCAACCCGATGAGCTCCCAGAAGTCACAGTTCAGCTCATGGCCCCCTGGAGCCTAAATTTAAAAAGTGGAGGAATGGGAAGGGGGGGGGGAGAGGAAGGGTAAAAGAATGAATAAAAATTAAAAGTATTCTGTACTAAAGATTTTGGTCAATGTCAGTATTTTTTTGGTGTGATTTCTAAGAACTTCATTATTATTACCCTAATCATACATACATTTTTAAAATGTAGGAAAGCAAAAACTAGGAAACAGTCATCTGTAACTTACAAGCTGTGGTAGCTAACCACTGCAACATCTTGGTGTCTCTTTCCAGTCTTAACAAATCATGTAACATAGTTATTCATACTGGAAGACTCCTTAAATGCACAGGTTTTACTAAAAGCTGTTTTGCTCTGGAATACATATAGTAAACACTTAAATCCTCCCTAATATTTCAATATAAGGAATTAATTTTAAAACCCACAAATCATAAAAGATGTTAATTCATTTGGTGCTAAACACCAGGCAACAACATGATAACAACAATCACTCTATTCTGCAATCACGTGACTTCCAAGGACAATTCCATGACCTTTAACCAAATATTTATTCTTAGCACACAGACTATTGCACATGAACTCTGGAAGATCAGTTTTTCCAATCCACCAGTTGGACTCTGTTGGCTCCCTCTGCTGGTTAAATAAGTCCATTATTCTCTGACCAACAGCACGTCCAAGGTCTTTTAACTGAAATTATCAGCAAGGACTGTTGGCTTGAGAACAATCAACTCTGAAAATACAATTTATATTTAGCTTTTTGTAAAAGTGGCTTTCAAGTTCTCTTCAGAAAGGGTCTGGTTTAGATTATACTGCTCTTTCCTGTATTTGTGGAGAGAGGATTGCTAAGCTTGAGAAGCCTTAGAGGTATAAAGGGTTGTTAACTGAAAGGCTGGTGGTTCAAACCCACCAGTCACTTTAGGGGAGGAAAATGTAATGTTCTGCTGTGAGATGGGCTGAGGTTAATCACTGTCGCTAACCCAGGCACCCAGGTGACACACTGTGAAGACAGGCAAGGTGGCTGCCTGCAGGTCGGTGTTGTTCTACACCTACCAGCAGATTCTGACTCGGAGAGAAGCCAGGAAGGTGTCACCCCGCTGCACAGGGTTCCCGATGCCCTAGTGGCTCAGGAAATACAGAGCTGGACTGGAAGCCGACAGGGCAGTGGTTTGTATAAGCCTGTCCACCGTCACCACAGGGATGCAGTGGCTAATGAACACAGGCCAGCCCCAGGAGTCCACCAGCCGCCTCCCGGGAGAAAAGGGAAGGGGGCAGTCAGTCAGCTTCTAGAAGGGCTATGAACTCTGTGGAGCAGTTCTGCTCTGTCCTACAGAAAGAAAAGAGTGAATTCACTTGACAAGCGTGCGTTAAATTTTTACTTCCATCTGAGTGAAAACTTACTCACACTCAGAGAACAGCAGTTACATAAGAGCCCATGAGGCTGATTTAGAAATTCTGTCAAACTGGAAAATCCCAAGCTCTTTTCCTCTTATGAGCTGCACAGTTCCTGTATGCATGGATTTCCTTGGAAAAATAAAATCAAACCAACACCATTGACACTGAGTCAGTTCCTCATAGCCAATCTCCCCAACCAGGGTCCGAGGCTGTAAATCTTCATGCGAGGAGACTGCTTGGCCTTCTTCAGAGAGGCTGGTGGATCTGAACTGCCAAAATGCCGACTTTAATGGTGAGCAACTCAATCCATTATGTACCACCCTACCAGGGCTCAGTAGGAAAAGGCACAGGAAGTTTACCAAGTGCAACATACTTTTAATTTATATGCCTTTTTTTTTAAAGGTATGAACACACACATAGACGGAAAACAAACAAGCCTATTGCTTTATGCAGTTAGGAAGCGACACACTCACCTGCTTGCCTTTTGGGGTAAGATTCAGCATGCCGTACACCGCGACACTGCTCTCCGTGGACAAGACCACGCCGTTGTAGCACTGGCACTGTAAGGACAGAAGCCCACGTCTTTAACGGGAACGTGTCACGTCTTTATGGGAACGTGTCACATCTTTATGGGAACATACTGGAACACACAGGAAGCTCAAGTTCTACACAATCGCATATTCTGATACTGGTGAAATGAGTGAGATACCCATTAATTTCTAGTCTTCATACAAAATCGCTTTTACTGTAAGAGACAGTGTAACCTCTAGATATATTTAGACACAAGTGATGTTGTTATGTACCGTCAAGCCGGAACCGACCCACAACTGACCCTCCAGCAGGTTTTCAGAGGCGGTTAAACATACAGGAGGAGACTGCCCCTCCTTCTCCCGTGGAGCAGGTGGTGGATTCAAACCGTGTGCCTTCGGATTACAGTGCAGCTTCTTGCCACTAGGCCACCAGACACACAGATGTATGTAAAAACGCATTTTCCATATATGCATATTATAAAGGATGTAAGAAAATATCATACAAATGTAGACAATTCCTTTAAAAAACAAATCCAGACTGTTAAAATCATAAACAGAGCCCATCCAGGTTATGATCACTAATACTCGCTAAAACCATTAGGAAAACAGTGATGGGGAACTTTTTAGTAGAGGAATCAAGCTGTCAACACCTGAACCCACTAATCATAAAAGAAGTCAGCCGGCCATTGTCTGCTTCTTGTTGGGAGGTAACTGAAGTGCCCAGACTCAGCCAGGAGGCAGCCTACCCCTCAAACAAAACAAAAAACAGAAGCAGAATGTAATCAGACCCAAAACTCCATCCTGCAAGAAATACAGAAGACATATAAGAACATGCTAGAGAAAGTTCACAGGACAGATGACCAGGTGTCTTTCAACAAATCAATAGCAAGGAAGAAAAAAAAGAGCTCTGGCGGCTTAGTGTCAAGACACTGCACTGCAATCCCAGAGGTGTGCGGTTCAAATCCACCAGATGCTTTGCTGGAAAAGGAGGAACAATCTCCTCCTGTACCAGTCAAAGCTGATTTGACAGTACTTACACACACACACACACACACACACAACAAAAATAAAAAAATAAAATAAAATAAAAAAAAGTTAAGAGGTACTTGTAGGGAGCTCTGGTGGCCTAGTGGCAAGAAGCTGCACTGTAATCCTAGAGATATGAGGTTCGAATCCACCAAATGCTCTGCTGGTGAAGGAGGGGCAATCTCCTCCTATACCGGTCAGATCCAATTTGGTGGTACACACAATAATTTTTTTTTTTTTTTAAAAAAGATACTTGTTACAGATAAAAGAGATTTCACAGACATATCAGGTAAATAGAGGGACCTCTGGTGGCTGACTCTATGGTACCCAACAACAACAAAAAAATAAAAAATAGGGTATACAATCTGTTTGGATTCTCATTCAGAACTACCAAGTCTAAAAACAAAAAGTGTAAAACAAATATAACCTGCCCTACCAATTTTAAATAGACATTATGTATAAAAATGGCAAGGATTATTGGTCTGGTGGAGCCTGGTGGAACCCTCAAGACAACGGCCCAACATAACTCTGAGCCTGGAATTGAACTCACCTCGGTGGTACAACTTCCAGCCAAAAAACACACAGATCTACAGTGTGAACATTAAACCTGGCGTAGTCCTCAGAACAATCACACACACAAGATCACACGGGCAGCAGGAGCCCAGGGACAATGATCAGAGGGTAGGAATCGAGAGGACAAAAGGATGAAGGGGAAACAAGAACGAGAGGGGGAGAGCACACAGGAGGCTGATGCCACGCGGGGCCATGACTGAAACAGGTCACTCATTCCAATCAATAAAAAAAGAGGAAAAAAACTGACATGACGCGTGCCATCTGGAGAACTGACTGGGTAACAGAGAATAATATAGTTTTGGGTTGTTTTTTTTCCCTGAAGAGCTACACTAACCCTGTATTTGGATGAAATGGTGTCTTGGGGAAATCCCTGGGCAAGAACTGGCCAGATTGGTCATGACTGAAGCTGGTGACAGGCACACAAGGTCTCTTCAGACAGAATGTCTGGATGTGTTGACTGAAACAATTCCTTAAGTTTAAAAAAATGTATACCCTAAATAAAACTCCCCAAATCTGCAATAAAGGAACCTGCTGAGAGAAATCTTAACTCAGTTACAAATCAGAGAAAACACTGACCAGCTCATCTGACAAGACACATTGGAGAAAGCCTGTCCCGTCACGCAGCACAAGGAACATCAAGTTTTTCCCTGGAAAGGAGAAGCTGGGAGTTAGCCAGACCACTCTTGGGCCTTACAAAGCAATCTCGCCTGTTGTTGTTTTTTTTTTTTCGCCTGTTTTTTAAAAAAGAATTTATTTTGTAGTTGTGGATATTGAAAATATCCACAGCAAAACATTCTGGCATGATCTGACCTTACATATAGCAATTCCAAAGTTCAAATTAGAAGTACACCTATAGTAACACTGTTGTTGTGTGCCATCAAGTTGGGCTAGACCCAGAGCTGACCCTCCCTCCAGCTGGTTCTCAGAGACTATAAATCGCACAGGAGATGACTCATCTTTCTCCCATGGAACAGCTGATGAATTTGAACTGCCTGCCTTTGGGGTGGCGGCACAACTCCTAACCACTAGGCCACCAGAGAAGGTCAGTAAGAAATCCTAAACGGCATCATGGAGGCAGTGTTAACATTTATAATGCGTGTAATTATATTTCACCGTGACCTTTCTTGGTCCTGATAGTGTTGTCTCCTCGTTTTATTACTTTTTTGCACGGGCTTATACTGTAAGCGAATGTCAAATCCTATGTAGAAAGAACCGGGGCATGAATAAGAAAACGAGTGTGTGCTCCGGTTTATCCTCCCTCAGAGGCACAGGTGAAGACGACAGCACCCCACAACACAGGAGGCTCACCGTCTGCCCTTCCCCCGAATGCACAAAGTCCACGCAGGATTTGAGAAAACAACGCAGAAGAATACAAATACGCAATTGTTGCTGCTGTTGTGTGCTGTCGAGCCGGAACGGACTCGTCGCTGACCCTCCGGCAGGTTTTCAGAGGCAGGAATCACGTGGGAGGAGAGTGCCCATCCTTCTCCCACAGAGCAGCTGGTGGGCCTGAACCGCGGCCCTGCCTTTCAGATTGCAGCACAGCTTCTTGCCGCCAGGCCACCAGAGCTCCCTCAAATACTCAGTAGTAATATAATATTACTGTATAAAATACTAACTGTGTTATTAACAAACGACAACTGTGTTCTGATGCCTGGGTACATAGTGGGAGTATGCACTGAAGTACATTCATTTTCTCATTCCTGACCCGGTTCTTTACATAGGATTTAATAACCTCGTAATAAGAAGACATATGCAGTAAAATAATAATAGGAGAAAACAAAGTCATCAGGACCAAGAAAGAGAGGCGTGAAATGTAAATATGTCATTCTAAAAGTCCACACCGCTGCAAGGGCTCAGACTGAGATCTGCCTCTGAACCGCCTTTAATCCATCCTCTGGGTTTCATGAAATGACATTTAACTCGGCAAATATTTACTGGCTCCCTCCTGATTTCTGTGATTGCTTGCACCCAGCTTCCGATGATTACTACTAAGTAAATATTTTTTATGTTCTTTGTCTCAGAGCAGCAACATTCAACGTTAAAGACACAAGTGACTCTAAGTACCTTGCCGGCGCAGCCGGTGGACCCAACCGAACACCTTCACTCTTTGGCCTCGATGAGCTTCTAATTCACTAATCTTCGCCTAGGAAGGGAAAAATAAACAGCATTTGACCAATTAATTCATTTGACACATCACATGCCACTTGAACAGACTGGGGTCTAAAATCCACAAATGGTGCAAAATAGGAGAAAGTCATTCAAATGCAGATCAGAACCAAAGAACTTTATCATTATTGTTGCTGTTGTTATGTGCCGTTGAACATCCCTAAACTCTGCTCTGTCCTGTGCCAATCGCACCGCCTCCAATACACCCATCCCGATTACCCAAGTCACTGAATCAATCCACCTCATAGGGGGCCTTCCCCTTCTGCGCTGTCCCTCCACCCTCCCAAGCATGATGACCCTCTCCAAGGACCTGTCCCTCCTTGTAACAAGTCCAAAGTATGTTAGATGAAGCCCCCAGAATCCTTTCCTCCAAGGAGCAGCCCAGTTTGACCCTTTCCAGGATGAATCTGTTTGTTTTCCTAGCAGTCCATGGTACCCTCAATACTCTTCTCCAGCACCACAGCTCAAAGCCTTTAAAAGAAAAAAAACCCCAACAATCCCAAACCCCAGACATAAGTCAGCCTCCTTTCCCCTAGGACAACACTGACAATGGGCAACGTTTAGAAGGCTATCACAGATAGGGATAATTTAAGACACTGCTGGATTAAAAACATCCTTAGTAAACAAAGGTGCTGTGTCACAGATGAGGCACTTCCTCTCCACAGTACTGCCCACATGGAACCATTTCCTTAACCCCCTCAGTCCAGGGCCCTGGGAAGTTCGCAAACGCTGGAATTTTTGTTTTGTTGATGGAGGTGAGACAGCAGAGGAAGAGGACGGTGAATGGAAACAGCATGAAGGAAGGAGGAACATGAAAACCCACCACAGTAACCAGTATTTTAACACCAACCACGCCCATTCCGTCCAGCATCCAGCTGGGCTCTGGAAAGAATGCAGAAAACGTGAGCTCCATTTCACAAGTCTTCCTGCATATTATTTATTTTAAAAACTATGAAAATCTTGGGAGATCTAGTGGTTTAGTGGCAAGAAGCTGCACTGAAATCCCGAAGGCACACAGCTGCTCCACAGAAGACGGGCAATCTCCTCCTGTAGGATTAACTCCTTCTGAAAACCCACCAGAAGGTCAGCTATAGGTCGACTCCAACTCCATGGCACACAACAATAACAACAACATGAAAATCTTAGATCTCAAGGACCTCATTTGTTCCAACAAGAAAAGGTAAAATCATTCAAGTTGACACCATCCAGCCTGGGAACCTCAGCTGTGGACTTTTTCCAGGGCTCAAAAAGTTGAATGTAATCACCAAATTTATACAGCTGACCCTTTAACAAAGCAGAGGTCAAAGGTGCTGGCCTCTTGTGCAGTCAAAAATCCAAGTATACCAGAGACAAATACGTCTAGGGCAATGATTAGCATCACGTGGGGTCTGAAGTGGATACTCCAAACACTTAAGTTCATCATAACAGCAACGGGGGTAAAATACACACATCAACAGTTGGCCTTCACAGTTCAAACCCAGGCTTCTTAAGGGCCACCTCTAATGAGATGAACCCCAAAAGATCCAGCCTCATAATTCTTTAAAAGTTGTAATAAAATCACAGAAACGATGCTTTAATGTGGTCAAATCCGGGCCCTCCTGAGCTCAAAGCAGGTCTGCCACTTCAGGAATTCCTGTTGAAAAGATCAGTAACATCACACATGACTTACACATTTTGGCTCGGGAAGACCCGGATCATTTTTAATGGTGATTTTCTTTGCTTCTTCCAGGTTTTTTTCTCTTCGCAAATTGTCTTCTGCCTAGATTCAACAACAAAGCAACTGGTTAAAACGGTCTCCAGGATTTGCACTTGAACAATGTCTACTGTGGCTCTCTCCCTGCTCACCTCCTTCTTCTCCCGGGACTCGTTCTTCATTTGTTCCCTGTGCCACATTTTTCTAATGTTTTTCATCTGTGATTTAGAAATAACATCCCACCTCTAGAATAATAAACAGACAGACAGTTTTATCAAGATTTCTGTGTTCTAACGAAAACTTACTCACTAAGCATAGCTCTTAAAAATTTCCAGTTTTTCTTACCTCATTTTCTTTTTGTGAATCGACATAAATGGTAGGAAATGGCTCTTTTCCTACTGTCAACAAAGCCTTGGATGGAGAAAAGAACAGAAATGTTTTTAACATTTTATAATACTGAAAACGAAAATAATGCCTTAATGAGAAGGCACCCCCAGCAATCTAGAACATCAAGAGTAAAAGAAAAATCCTAAAGGCCCCAGCTGTCAAAAGTTAATGTTGACCAAACGGCTGGTTCAAAGTACAAAAGGCTTTTGCTTTGAATAAAATCAGGTTCTTTCACTGACAATTCCAATAAGCTTGGTTACATTGTTAACTTCCCTGTACCAACAAACTAGACAGATTTCAAATGGTTATACAGACCACCAAGGGATATGGACAAGAGAAGAGAGGCAGAACCACAGAGCAGATGATTAGAGATCACATTGAAAAGATGAGCCCGGGCTGAGAAATCAAGGAAGAATGCAAGAGATTTCTGAACCAACACAATAGCTAAGGGCAGAAGCATAAAGCTGGATTTAAAAACATTCCACTTCTTAAACAACATGCTCCTGGAAGCTCAATGAACGTTGATAAATACTGATGGTTGTACAAGGGCTTCAGGCCTTTTGTTCATAGGGTTGCTATGAGTTGTGCTCAACTTGAAGGCAAACAACAACACATGGAATATCTCTTGTTACTGATACTGACACACGCCAAGAATGGCTGTACTATGTTGTTGTGCCATCAAGTAGGAACCGACCCGTTCCTGACTCTCCAGCAGGATTTCCGAGGCTGCAGACCTCATGAGAGAGGCCCATCTTTCTCCTGCAGAGCGGCAGAGGAATTTGAACCTCTTGTCTTTGGGTTGGCAGTGCTAATATTCACCCACGGGGCCACCAGAGCTCCCTATTGTTGTATTACACATACATTCGTTTTGTTGTCTTAATTTATATTTAGTAGTTTGTGCTTAAAAAAAAGTAGTTCAAAGTAGGTGAAAAATGAATATTTAAAAATATTTCACAAGTGATTAAGTCAGCCAAGACATTTAAAGTGTTACTCTCTGCTGGTAAAATCTGAAGTCTATAAAAATTTATTTCTTCAGGGAGTTGACAGTTCCATGTGATGAGCTCCACGTAGTCCAGCGCCTCTTCCACAAGCCCTGTAAACAAACAGGATCTCCTATTCTGTTGTAAACCAAGGACGGAGACACCAAGACTGAAAAAAAACAACAGAGTATGATGCAGGGAGTGAACAGCTTGAAAAACTGCAGCCGTCTCAAGCCACGCCTCTCTGTATTTTTACTGAGAATCACCAGGAAGTGAATGATACAGAGAATTCTTTTGTAAAAAAAAAATATTTCTTCTATATAGCTAGTTTCTAGACCTGAAAAATATTTTTTTTTTAAATCACTTTTTTTCCAAGAACGATGCCCTGCTCTAAGGACTGGTCCCAACCTTACAAAATGCCCAATGTATGTGAAATAGTTTCACCATTCTTGCCATCAAGGGGCACCCTGGCTTCATTTTCTCCACGTCTTATTGCTGTTCCATGCGTACGACTCACAGCGACCCTATGAGTGACAGACCTGAACCCTGTCTGCTCCTGGGCCATCCTCAGTCTCTGACGCACTCAAGCCTACAGCTGCAGGGACTGCGTCAGCCCACCTAGTCAAGGATCTTCCTTGCCATCGCAGTCCCTCCACATTCCCAAGTGTTTAAGTTCCTTTTCAAGAAATAACCTCTCTTAGCAACATGCTCAAAAAATAGGAGACAAAACTTCGTCATCTTTGTCTCCAAGGAGCATTCAGGCTGTAGCTTCTCTAAGTTCCAGCTTGATGAACCACTGAGTGTGAGCCTCTGAGAAATGGATCAATTCTTATACGTAGACCAAGAACACATTGTCCAAACAAAACAAAGGAACACTGCACGGTTTAAAATCAGGAAAGGTATGTGTCAGGATTGTAGTATTTCTTCGTACCTATTCAATCTGTATGATGAACAAATCATTCAGGAAGCTGGACTCTGAAGAAAAGTGTGGCATCAGGAGGAAGACTCATCAACAGACAGCCTGCATGACAAAGATGACACATCTTGCTCACCAAATGTGAGAGGGACCTGAGGCACTTGCCACAGAGGATCAAGGTCTGCAGCCTTCACTAAAGATGACACCTTGATTTCAAGAAGACAAAAATCCTCACCACTGGACTGATAAGAAACACGATAGATGGAGAAATGAATGAAATTGTCTATTATTTAAATCTGCTTGGACAACCAACACCCCTGGTACTAGCAGTCAGGAGATCAGGAGACAGGCTGCAATTGGTAAGTCTGCTCTTAGGGACCTCTCCAAATTATTGAGGAGTAATGATGTCAGTTTGAAGACTAAGGCATGCTTGATGCAGGCCGTGGTCTTTTCAATCACTTGCTATGCTATTGAGAGCTGGACAATGAACAAGGATATTAGGAGAACTGATATCTCTGAGTTGTGCTGGAGAAGAACTCCGAATGCCCCACAGACTGCCAAAAGAACAGCTAGATCTTGGAAAAAGTGCAGCCAAAGTGTTCCTTGCATGCAAGGACAATGACTCTTCGTCTCACATACCTCAGGCATGTTTTATGAGAGGCTATTCCTTGGAGAGGGACATCATGCTTAGGAAAGTAGAAGGTCAGTGAAAGAAAGGAAGACCCTCAATGAGATGGACTGGTACAATTTCTAAAGCAATGGGTTCAAGGGTGTCAGAGATGATGAGAATGGCACAGGATAGGAAGGGTTTACATCTGTTGTTCATAAGAGTCATTATTAGTCATACTCAAAAGCTCCTAACAACAAGAACAACTTGTGAGTCACTATAAATCAGGCTCTAAGTTTCCAGGCTCAGGCTCAGGGCTGCACTTTGAGGGAGCTGGCCCACCAAAAGGCCTCTAAGGAGTCTGTCTGAAGAAACCTGAGCAGATGTGGCGGAAGGAAAGGGATTTTTATCTCTCCACAGACTGAAAAATTGGCACTCTGATTCATTAGAGACGGAGCAGAAAAGTAATAATGACCTAAGATGCAATAAATACCACATGGTAAGGAGAAGTTAACTTTGAAAAGTGTTCTAACACAGTAGAAGGTCCTGAATAGGGTGGGTGAACAATGTGGAAAACGGCCAGGCTTACTCATCTGACAGAAACTAGTGCCTTTCAGGAACTAATCTCTGAAACTAGGGCTCTTAGTCATCCTGAAACCAGACTCGCTCTCTTGGCTCAAAACGTAGCCAAACAAGAAATAAATCTGGAAGGTAAATAATAACACCAGAGAGCCACTCAATCCTTAGACCAACCAACCCAACCACATAAGATCAAAAGAATAGATGGCATCCAGGCATAAAGCTTAGAAAGCAGGGAGGGGCAGGGCAGAAGGATTAATAAAAATGAAGGAGGTCAGCAGAAAGAACACCGCTACAATCAAGGTCATGAAACACAACACGTGTATGAGTGGAAGGATGGAAAAGCAATTTGCTCTGTAAACTGTCACTCAAATCTCAACAAAAATTAAATAAGACTTTCGAATACACTGAGACATGGCACATCTAACACTCTTAGATGTGCACACTGACAGTGCTCCAAACTTTGTGGAACCTTCTCTTTAAAATCTAGTGTATTAAATAACATTTTAGACAAGTCACAGAAACCTAGACACAAGTCATCAATGAATGCAATGTTGTTCTCCTGAGAGGAGACACTACCTTTAGACCTGTCTTGAACGGTTTCTCCTTGGTTCCATCACCTGTCGCGTCACTGCCCTCACGATCTGAGACATAGAGCTCGCCTGTTTTTATAAAAAAAAAAAAAGTGATTACACGTTTTGGCAAAACCCACAACACAGCACATACTACAACTACTTCATCTATTCTTTATCTTTCATAAAATATACTGAAATAGCATCTGATTAGTAAAAACTTCCCCAGTCCAAAAGAAAGTAAATCAATTCTTTACCCATTTCATGAGCCTCAAATTATCTCCCAATTTTATGAGCACAAAAGTTGCAGATCTAGCCTTTCAACTGGAATGTGAATGATGTTCATTTGTGAGGCTGCTTCTGACCACTTGAGTCCCCAGTAATCAATGAGCATGGAAAGTGTCGAGTCAGAGCTAGGGTGGCGTCTTGTATTTTGGACCTTGGTGGCCCTGGAGACTTTATCTGATAGAGCACATTCTTCAACCAAAAACGGAGGAAAACGCCGCCCATCTGGTTCCCTCTGGTCTTTAAAAGTAAGCCAAGTAGGGAGATGAAACAAATTCCAGAAGGATTAGCAATTAGTAAATCAGAGTCGTGACATCAATACAGTTCTAATCTTTTCGCACGAGGGTCTCCATGAAAGTCTCCAAAAAAGGAGGATGTGTAGGAGAGAAGTGCTAATTCTCCAGTCCTCTCCTTCCGATCACTTTGCAGAATAACGTATGTGGGGGTGCACTCCCAGCGCCCAAGTCGCACTGCATCACTGGATTCGTCGGCCTCCATCCAGCCCCTGGACCCAGGGTTCGAGCCCAGCCCGGCCCGCCGAGAGGCCAGGGGTCCCCTTGGTCCACTGAGCACGTCTTTACGGAGGGCCGACTTCGCCAGCACTTTAGGGGGGCTGCTGAGACGGGCCGAACAAGTCGCACGGGGTTCTCGACAGGGAAGAGGCACCGCCACACTGACCAACACCAGGGTCCCCGAGACTCACTCACCTAACACCATCCCTGCGGTAGCCCTGGTCACCTCCAAGGACATAACCTCCTCTGCAGCCACCTGGTCAACCCAACGTGCACCCGCGGCTTCCTCCACTCCGCGGTTGCATCATACAACGTCGCTGCCCTGGTCGCGCCGATGAGTCACCAGAACGCCGGCACTCCATTGGCTCTGGGAAGTGGGCAAGTGTCGCTCGAGCCGCCATGCTTTGTCAGGGCAGGAGGACTTCCGGGTCCTCAGCGGCAGGGTGCACCCGGCTCACTGCTCTATGGATTCCTAGGGATGCGCCCGGCATCCGCGATCCGCAGAGTCTCCAGAGGCTGCTCCCTTCTGTCTGCATTTGCCAAGCTTTCCCTCCTGAATCTTCCAGTTCCTCCCCTGGCTGTAGATGACTCCCTAGCCCTTCCACTTGGGAACCAAACCGAAGATCTTGCTCCAGATGCATCCATCCATCTCCAGATGCAGAAGCACGTGTTAAACGGATGTCATCATTTGTACAGTGGAGCGGCAGAGACGTGGGGATGGGAAAGAGGGATAGGCCTACCTCACACGCATTGCCTCCTTTGAAATATGAAGATGCTTTAAATTCCTGTATTTTGGAGCATGGCATATTTTAAAGTAAATTTGAGATTACTCAAAAATACCCAAGAGTAAACACAAACACATTGCTATCGAGTTAGAACTGACTCAGAGCGGACCTTGAAGGGCTTCCAAGGCTGTAAATCTCACAGGAAGAAATTACACTTCTTGCTCCTATCAAGTGGTTTGGTGGATTCGGACCTATGGAGGTTTGCAACCGTTGAGTTACCACTACAACTCTTTATGGACGACACTACCAGAGCTCCCACTACTACTGGGAACGTCCTTGTTTGGTGCCCTTGAGCTGATGACTATCATAGCAGCCTTATAAACAACAGATGGGAACTTTCCCTAGCCAGAGCCATCATCATCATCATCGTCGTCATTGTCATCATCATCTCCACCCCCTTGTTGCTCTTATGAGATGCTGCAGTCGGAAATGAGATGCTGTCCATCTCATCTAAGGTCGTCTTCTCTTTCACTGACTACTTGGAATTCATTGCAGTGGTGTTGGAACTGAGACAAGGCTGAACGTCTGGTGGGTTTTCTAAGGCTACAAATGCCACTTGAGGAGATTGTCTATCTTTTCTCCTGCAGCTCTGCTGGTGAATTTAAATCCACAGAGGCATCACCTTTAGGTTAACATTGCGACTCACCACAGACTAGAGCACCAGAGTTCCTAAAAATGAATTCTATTGAGAACAAAATGAAACATCCTTCATTGTCTCCAAGAGCTCTATGCAAGTAGATGGACTTTGCATTCGAGTTTATGTTCAAAGCCCCTATAAGTCCCTGGAGACTGATGAACTTAAAGGCCTTAGACTGGGTCCTTTACTTCTCAGAGCCAATGAAGACAAAATGCCTTCTTTGAACCCCGTAATCCTGACATCAGTAAATATCTAAGAACAAATTTGAGTCTGTTCAAATTGTAGCAAGATGTTTTTGTGAAGAAGTAAAAGCGATCTGAGCTGGGAAACATAGTGTGAAAGTGAAACTAAGTCTTCTGAAGGCAGGGACACAGGGGAGTTCTTTAGAGCAAAAGCAGCAGCGTCAGCAGTTGCTGTGCAGCATTTGATTGGTTGACAAGCAAGGTGTTTACCGTCAGCAGTTAGAGCTCTGGAAAGACGTGAAAGTCTTGATACAAGTTTCCAGAAACTTGAAACAAAACTTTTATAAACGGTTCTGAGCATTTTCTTTATTAAACTACTCAATGAACATTGAGGTTTTTATGTTGACCACACAAATTTTGAATAAGGAAACTGAAAGTGGGTGGGAATTCCAAAATGAATGGTAACCTGAAACCTCCTATAGCATTACCATGGACTGATGTGTTCATTAAGTTGCTTAGCTCAGCGTAACCATTTTATAATGAAGCTGTAAGATGACCCCGGGCCGACAGATCAACCTCTATTCTAAAGGTAGATTCTTATCACCTTGGAGGAGAATTAATTCCTGATGAGAAATGTTAGACTGAAAAACTCACCCACGTGTGCTTCAGAGGTCAGATGTCATGTCTCTGATCCTTTTGTAGAAATACAAGGAGACATTCCCGAGCTTATGGCAGCTTCAGAAAATTATGGCTGCTGTTTGAAAACCTAGGGGGCTCTGGTGGACTAGTTGATAAGGAGTTTTGCTGCCAATCTAAAGGCAGACAGTTTGAATCCACAAACTGCTCCACAGGAGAAAGATGGGCAATTTCCTTTCATGCGTCTGAAGGTGGCTTTTCAATGGCAAGGAAGCCTCAGCAAAGGAACACTAAGATTCTCTCCAGTTGGTGATGAGAAACAGGTTATCTGGGATGAGAAGTCCTGTGATGTTAGGAGTTTATTGTTTACAACGGCTTCCCTGGCCAGTGACTGACTCTGCCTTGTGGATGGGGAGGAATATATGAATAGAGTATGTTAGCCTGTCCACAAGGGGGTTGCCTAGATTTGCCATCAAACTGACCAGATCCAGCAGCAAAATTTGAGGACCTCACCACTATTAAAGAAAAAGCAAGAGAATGCAATGCATCCTTTGGGGCTAGAGAGGCTTGTGCCCATCAGGCCAGGGCATAGAGTAGCCATCCTAGTGAGAGCATTGTGGGATAGGGAGACAATGTGTGTCCTGAGCAAAAAGAGAATCTGAGTTACCCTTTTTGTGTCTTAAAAATAATTTCTAGTTTTAGCTATAGAGAATACACACTTGCGCAGCTGGCTTGTGTCACTTTACAGCAGTTCATCTGGGTCTTTCTTTGATCCCTTTAAGTGCCATTAGACACTCTGGTGGCCTATTGAATAAGGTGTTACCCTGCCAAACTAAAGACAGGCAGTTTGAATCGACCAGGGGCTCCACAGGAGAAAGATGGGCAGGCTCCTCTGCTGCTATTCACAGCCCGTGGAAACCTGCTTGAGGGTAAGCTATGAGTCAGTTCCACCTCGAAGGCACATAACAGCACAACTGTCAAGGAATGTGCCATATGTCATTGATGCTAGGATTGATTTCTGTTATCCCAAACTTTTTAAAGAGTGCAGTACAGTGATTGTACGTGCCCTTTTTCTTGTGAACAAGTAGATCTTCAGGATAAATATACGACAAATGTGATTACTAGGTCAAAGAGTATGTGAATTTAAAATTGTCATGAATATTGCTAAACTCTTGTCCCTAAGATTTTGTCAGTTTATGTCTGTATCAACAATGAAAGAACTTGTTTCACCACGGGCACAAAATGCAAATTGCCAAACTTCCTTTTGTGCCAGATTCATAGTTGGAAATGATCTATCAAAATAACTTTTAATCTATTTAGTATGGATGCCACTCGACATGTTCCATAAAACAGATGCAGCCCTGGATGTGCTCACCAGTCTGTCCCTGAAATTTGGAAGACAATTACCTGGCCAATGGACTGGAAGAGATTCGTATTTGTTTCCATTCCCAACAAAGATCCAACAGAATGTGGACATTATAAAACAAAATCATTATTTTCACACGTAAGTAAAATCTTGAAAAGTGATCCAAAACAGACTAGACTTCCAGAGGCTCAGGCTGTGTTCAGAAGAGGTTATGGCACCAAGGATATCATTGCTGATTTCAGATGGGTCTTCACTGAAAGCAAAGAATACCAGAAGAATGTCTTTCTGTGTTTTGTTGACTATACAAAGGCATATGACTGTGTGGATCATACCAACTACGGGTAACATTGAAAAGAATGGGAATTCCAGAACACTTAATTGTTATGTGCTGTTGAGTTGCTTGTGACTCATAGCGACCCTATGTACAACAGCACTAAACTCTGCTCTGTCCTGTGCCAATCGCACTGTCTCCAACACACCCATCCCTATTACCCCAGTCACTGACTCAATCCACCTCATAGAAGGCCTTCCCCTCTTGCGCTGTCCCTCCACCCTACCAAGCATGATGTCCTTCTCCAGGGACTGGTCCCTCCTTACAACATGGCCAAAATATGTCAGATGAAGCTCCAGAATTCTTGCTTCTTCCAGTCAGTTGGACAAGTGGTTGTTCTCCAGATTTCTTGGCACAACTTGGTGAGCACATCCAGGGCAGCATCTGTTAGCTGAAATATGTCAATTGGTACCATCTATTCCTGGGGCCTTATTTTTTGCTATTTCCTTCAAAGCAGCCTGAACTTCTTCCTTCATCACCATAGGCTCTTGCTCATATGTTGTTTCATGAGATTCTTCTGTGTCTGCCAATTCCTTTTGATTCAGTGACTCAGTATATTCTTTCCATCTTCTTTTAATACTTCCTGGACCATTTAATAGTCTTCCTAAAGCATCCTTGATTATACACTTAATTAGGCTTGTTTAAAATCTGTGCAAGAGAGAAAGACAGTCGAGATGGATTGATTCCATGACTGCAGTAATGGGGGTAGGTGTGTTAGAGACAATAATATTGGCACAGGATAGAGCAAGGTTTAGAGCTGTTCTACATAGTGTTGCTATGAGTTGCAGATGACTCAACGGCACATATCAACAAGACTGTCTTAGCTATTGTCTGAACAGAGCATGGGAATACTGCAAGATCTTAAATCAGGAAAGGTGTGAGTCAAGACTGTAGCCTTTCTCCATATCTATTTAATCCACATGCTGAGTACATCACTAAAGAAGCTGGTTCTCTTTCAGCAAGAATCGTCATCTAGCAGGAGCTCTGGTGGCCTAATGGCTGAGGAGCTGCTGTCAAGAACCTCTTAAAAATACTGTAGAGCAAAGATGTCAGTTTGAAGACTGAAGTGCATCCGATTCAAGGCCTGGTCTTTTCAATTGCTTCCTAGATATCTGAAAGTTGGACAACGACTAAAGATAGCAGAGAAGAATAAATGCCTTGAATTCTGGTGTTGGAGAACAATATTGAATAACATTCCAGGGACTGCCAAAAGAACGAACAAATCTGTCTTAGAAAAAGTGTAACCAGGGTGCTCCTTGGAGGCAAGGATCGTGAAACTTCATCTCACAGACTTTGTCCATGGTGCCAGGAGGGGCCAGTGCTTGGGGAAAGATGGCATGCTGGGAAATTGAAGGTCAGAGAAAGAGAGGAAGACCTTCAACAAGATACACAGGGAATGTAACAATAGGCTTGAGCAAATAAAAAAATAGTCGGGATGACACAAGTTGAGAGATTTCATAGGTCACTATGAGATGTCATCTAATTGATGAAGACCATGAATGGGTGTGAAGTATTTTCTCGCTGTAGTCTGTATTGAAATCCTCTGGTGGTGGCGTTGGTAGTTTATTGTTTTACTAAGCAGAAGGCTGTGTGTCCCTGGTGGTTCAACTCTACCCATAACTCAGTGGGCAGGTTTGTCTCATTAGGATTAACAACCTTGGAAGCTCAATGGAGGTCACTGGTTCTGACTCAGTGCCAGTGGGTAACGTCAATTACCATTAAGCCTTTCCTGTGCCTATTGGCCACTTGTTCTTCTTTGGTGAAATATCCAAGTTCTTTCACCATTTTTTAAAGTTGGGTTAACCTTCCCTTGTTGATCTGCAGTTCTTTTCATACACAGGAAATCAAACCCTTATCATATGGTTCCTAACCATCTTCTCTCTTGGTAGGTTGTCTTTTCACTTTCTGAATAAGGTTCTTTTGATGCCTGAACTTTATAATGAAAATCTAGCACATCTTCTGCTGTTTGTGCTTTGGTACCATGCCTAAAAGTCCATTGCCAAAGTCAAGGCCTTGGACCTTCGTCCCCATGGTTTCTACTAGGTACTAAGTGTTATTTCATTGTGGTTTCCATTTGCATTTCACTAACATTTTCTTATGAACTCTGATGGCCTAGAGGCAAGAATCTGCATTGCAGACCTGAAGTCCCTCCATTCAAATCCACCAGCTCATCCCATGTGATTACAGCTCCTGAAAATCTGCTGGAGGGTCAGCTTTGTGTCAGTTCTGACTCAGTGGTACACCACCACCACCACCACCACAACAACATCTTGCTGGCCATCTTTTCATATGCTTGTAGTTTGTTTGTATGTCTTTCAAGAAATGTCTACTTAAGCCAAGAAGATAATTCTTTAAGGGTTTCAACTTCTTCCTGTGCAATTCTTTTTCTTTCTGTTTTGACAGGATGTTTTGTTTTTCTGTGTTCCCCAGTTTTTATTACAGCAATAACTTTCTCACGAATCCTGTTTTTGACAGGGCTTTTAGAAGCAATCTTGCCATTTTCCCCAAGCTTTATTCTTCTCACACGATGGCAGCAACTGTGAAAGTGTGCTTAGATTCCATCAGGGTGCACTTTCCTATCACATTAGAATCTCTTAAGCATCACTTCACGCCCATCATCCATCATTACTGAGAAGCCAGTTTCTGGAGCTCAGCAAAGTGGAACCATTGGGGAAGAACCTCTAGGTGGCGATCTTTGGTTACAAAACATTTATTCCTCAAACGCTTCATACAATCTAACACTCTGAGAATTATCTTTCAAATCCTTGTAGGGCTCTATCTCAGCCCTGCTCAGAAATTTCTTCATATCACTGGGGGAAATATATATGTGAATGTGTTTTCAGTGACGTTTTACACATTAGGTTCTTATTTGATAATTTCTATATGAAATAGTTGCTCAATGGCATCAGCCTGTCTTGTGCTCCATTTCTGAGATATTTTCCTTGACCCCTTTTCTTCCCATCTTTGCTCTAGAGTAACTGTTGACCTTGGGTCTCATAATGCTGCCCATTTTTAATGGAACATTGTCCTTACAGGCACCAGGCTGTTACTTCACTAAAAGGTGATGGTTTCGGTTTAAGGTTTAAAGACTATTTCAGGGCAGCACACTCAGAGAGTACTCTAATTTCCACTGGCCCAGCAAGTTTGGACTTTTAAAGACTCTGAGTCCTGTGTTTTACTCCCATTCCAGCAGGTTCCACCTAATGTGGTTTGAATCAAAACATTTCCATTGTAGGATTAATAATCGGCCACACCTTCCTCCCACCCCATTTTTAAAGGACTGCATGACATTGTCCTCCACTAACAGGTTTTCAGTTGTAGATTGTCAGTGATTTCAACCTTTAATTTAACGAGCATCCCTTATTATGCCCTTATCCCCTCCTACCAGTCACATTACCCCCTTCTTAGTCCCTTCTGAAGGGCTAACAGGGTCATGGCTCCCCTTACTAAGGCTAATTGCCTGGTCCGCAGCCAAGCCTTGAGATTGGGCCCTGCCCTGTTCCCACCCGGGCCTCTCCTTCCCCTCTGCCTTCTCTTTGCTGCCAGCGATCCATCACACACTTATAAACGATCTGCACATTTTCCATCCCCTACTTTTTGTCAAGGTTTACTCCCTTCTGATTGCTCTTATTCTGGCTCTAAGCAGTGGAGGTCATTTGGAAAGATCATCCGTTGATGAAGCTCAACTAACGAGGAACACTGGCTGGAGGAGAATTGATCTCAGCAACAATAAATCCATACGCTCTGCCTTTACAGTCAGCACCAACCAACGTCCACCAATCAGCCCACAGTCTCTTATTTCTTCTACCAAAGCCAAACAAGACTCGCTGCGACCCAGTCGATTCTGACTCCTGGGGACCCCCCAACTCATCCTATAGAACCGTTCCACAGCGTTCTTCATGGCCGTGACTCTTCAGAAGCAGATTGCCAGGGTTCTCTTCTGTGTGGTACGCTTGGATGACTTCTAACTTTCAAGCCTGAGGCTAGGAATCGGAGGCAAGCCACACGCACCACCCAGGGGCTTCTCTCTGCAACACAAACCAAAAACCCAACCAACAAAACAACCAAACTTAAACATGCTGTTTAAGATACCACATATGCCCAAGGTTGTACTAAAGCATTTATTTTTTTTAAACAAAAATATACATTAGATTTTAGATTTACAGAATATAATTTACCCAAAGCAATTTGCATTTTCAAATTGTTACTCTTGCACCCAACAGTATGAGTCTTTGACACATTTATTTGCATTTGCCCACCTATCCCATAATCAACAGAGGGGGAGAGAAATCTGACTGAAACGGACATAGGCTTTAAAAATAAAGGAACTTAAAATTCTTATTATTTACAAGATGAAGCTGTAAACTTTCCGAAAGTTATTCCCATGGGATAAAAAGGAATACAGTCTTTTATCATATCTAAAAAAAAAAAAAAGAATTGAACTATATACACGCTGTTGTTTCCTCAGAGGAAACCAAAGGGCAAGTAATCACAAGCATTTGCAGCCAAATGGAAAAGACAAGACGACTGGCAAATGCTTTTACATCTTCACTTGTCTATGGAAACTAAAATGCAAATTTTCCAGAATGAGAAAAACCTCTGAGCAGAGGAACTTTCGCCCTTTGGACGACGGTTTCCATAGTTACCCAGGCTCCTCTTGCCTTTTAGAAGTCTGCAGGACTGTAGGAGCTCTGGCAATGTAGTGTGCAGGAAGTCGTGTTGCTAATCCAACGACTACACCTCTCTGAAGGTTCGAATCCACTGACGGCTCTGAGGGAGAAAGACGAGGCATCCTCCTCTCAGCTGATGCACAGGCCAGGAAACCCACTGGGGGGTCAGTTAAGAGTCGGGTCTGACTCCACGGCAGTGATTGTCAGTTCACTCCTGCTACTCAGGGTCTCTGAAATGTAGTTCTTAACCTTCCACTTGTCTCGAGACACAAGACAAGTGGAAAAGAATGAGGTCTCTTTTCAATTCGCTTATAAAAACATGACGTATCAGCAGGCACAAAGGTTGGCTTTCGAAAAGAAAGCTTTGCAAAAAAAAAATACTCTGCAATGTATCACTGAGAATCCTGTTGTCAAAAAACGGTGGTTTTATAAGCCCCCTAAATATTTCAGTGTGTGTATGCATGTGTTTGTGCAAAGAGAAGAGGGAATAAAATCACTTGCTCGTTAAGTACGATAGGCAGTTGATAAAATGACATCCAGAGGTAAAAGTATATAATGTGTTGTTTTAACCTGGTTGTAAACGGAAACAGACTTCATTGCATCTTGACCATTTACAAGTTTGAAATCATTTTCTTGGTTAAGGATGAGTAATTGAAGCATTTTGATGATAAGGAAAGTGTTCCTTGTAGCTTCTTAGTGTGTTATGATTCCTGCTGCTAACAGGTCGGTCGGTGGGTTGATCTGCCAACTGCTTGGAGGAGGAGGAGGAGGAGAGGAGGCTTCCTTTCCTGGTGGAGATTTGGAAGGGAATTGACTCGCTGGCAGTGGATTTTTTTTTAAACGTGAATCACATGATCTACACGGAGAAACCACTGGTCCATTTGGCTGACAGGTGATGTACAATCATGAATCTATTGCCATTATCACTATAAATTAACATCTTAGTCTACACGGGGTCTCCAGGAAAACCTCTTAGAGATCGATGCTGCCCCTGACAAACAGGAATATTAGGATTGTATGATGCAGTCTCATTGAATGGATAAAAGGGAGATGCTTTCTGATCCTGTGGTCCCAGATTTAGACCGAGGTAAACTCGTGCCTTTGAATCAGACACGCACAAACAATTGAATAATTGGACTCTGAGCAGAGGTCCTTGGCTAGACCGCGCAGTTCAAGGACTTGGTTTTCTAGAGGTGATTCTCTTCACTATCCTTGTGATGAATACAATTAAAAAACAAGTCCTGAGTCTTCTCATAAAAAAATATACATTTCCTCTCTGTAGGTGGCCTTGGGGCGCGCCCTCAGCTGTCCCCAGTGCGCCGGTACTCCGCTATCCCATCGGCCACGATAGCGTCCAGCGGAGACCGCTTCTTGCGGATGCTGCGCCCCGATGAGATGAGGTCCGCATAGCCACGCTGGTGCGAGAAGGCGTAGGCAGAGCGCCTGGACGATGCGCCCCTGCGGAACACTGGCCTCCGCTTCCACTGCTCCTCCGCCTTCAACCGCTTGCGATGCTTCTGAATCTGCAGAAAGAGAGATGGAGACCGTGTTGAAAAGAGCCGGCTGGAGGCGTGTGAATAAGGGTCAGGGGCACTGGATGCTCCCCAAAAGGAGGTGGGAGGGAGCCAAGGTTGATGGAAGTGCTCCCAGGCTCCTAGCCTCAAGGGTCTCTCATTTGAGGCCACTGTCACCACCTCCAGGAGCAGTCAGGTTCTGCTGCTAATCTAAAGGTTAGAGGTTCAAGTCCACCCAGATATGGCACGAAATAAAGGCCTGGCAACGTGTATCTAAAATATCAGCCTTTGAAAACCCCACAGACCCCAGCACTACTCTGACACACATGAGACCACCTGAGATGAATTTGCCGGAAAACACCTGGGTTTTGGCGCGCACCATCCCTATTGTGTAGATGAGGAAACTGAGAGATAAGTGACTTTTCTCAAGTTACTTCTGGGGCTTGTAAAAGATCGAAGTAGAGAAAACGCTGTAGCTTCCCTCTCCTCATTTGGAGAAGAGTGCCGACTGTCCCCTGGACAAACCAGCATGTCTTGGAGAAAGAGCAGAAGAGCGCTCCCTGGAGGCAAAGGTGGAGAAGCTTCGTCTCTCATACTCTGAGCACGTTGTTAGGAGAGAATATTCTTTGGAAAGAGACATTATGCTGGGAAAGCTGGAGAGACAGTGAAGTAGAGTATGATCCTAAATGAGATGGTAGTGACCGCACCGATGGGCTCAGGTGTCACAGAGATTGTGAGGATGGCACAGGAGAGGTCAGAGTTCAGATCTGGGGTTCCTCAGGTAGAGCTGTACTGGACTCAACAGCACTAACAAAAATAACTATGTAGTCCTCTCACTGGGCAAAGATCTTGGGGCTCCTGAAGGATACCTATTTTCTTTGTCAGGAAATGGCCCCTGGAACCCCTGGATGGCACAAATGGTTAAGCACTTGACTCTGCTCAAAAGGTTGACAGTTCAAACCCAGCAGAAGCTATCTGGGAAACAGGCCTGATGATCCACCGCTGAAAGGTCAGTCTGGAAAACCAGATGGAGCGGATCCATCCTGTCCACGTGGGGTGGCCATGAACTGGAACTGGCTCAATGACAACTAACAGTGCACCTTTCTTACGGGATGCAGGTGCCACTCTGCAGGTAGGCAGATGCATTTCCCTTGCTAGGTATTAGACAGGGATCCTTGGTGGCAGGTGATTAAAGTGACTGGCTACTATTCAGAAGGTTGGTGGTTGGAACGCACCAGCTGCTCTGAAGGAGAAAGAACAGGACAGTCTCCTTGGGCAGAGATTATAGATTGGCGAACCCTAAGAGCCCTGTGGTATAGTACTCTACATGCTGTGCTACTAACACAAAGGTTGGTGGTTCAAATCCACCAGCTGCTCCATGGAGAAGGATGAGGAGTCTCCTCCTGTAAAAATGTGCAGTCTTAGAAATATGATGGAGAGTTGCCATGAGAATGGACTCAATAGCAGTGGGTTTGGTTCTAGGTTGATATGCTCACTGCGTGCTGGAATTGATTTGACTAGCGCACTAGAATAAGAGCGGGCAAAGGCCAGCATTCTGGCTAATGAGACCCGAGGGAAGTGGACACAGGGCCCTTACGTGACAAGTTCTGAGACTTCCAAGGGCCGGTTCTAAAGTCAGACCCTTGTCCCAGGACCGTGAAATGAGAGGATGTGGTACAAGGATAAAGACATCTAGCTTCTGTCCTCAGGAGGAAGCTAATAACAGAGATGGAGGAGGGAAAGGTGAGCAAATAACAGAGTTGGAGGAGGGAAAGGTGAGCAAATAAGAGAGATGGAGGACGGGAGGAGAGGTGCAGTGCTCAGTGCTCCATCAGTGGAGGCTGGAGTCTGTTAGTCGTTAAGTAAGTTGAGATCATGAATTTCTTATTATTGAGCCTTTATGAGTCATGATTTTCTGTTACTTACATTTAAAAGAAACTTGCTATAGGAAGTGACATTTTCCTTTAGATAAACATGCCAATCTATTTGCACCATAAAATGTTAATACTGTAATTGTTAAAGAAGGGATAGATATATGACAGTCCATTATCCTATTCTTTCTGTCTCTTTTTTTATAACTTTTATAAACAAACCAAAACCCTCCTCCCACAGGCATTTTTTGAAAGCTGGACTTCAAGGAAGGGAAGCGGGTGTAAGAAATGCCCCATGAACTTCTTAGCTTTTCTTGGAAAAGCTGCTCTTGGGAAGCACTTTGGTGTTTGAGAAGGAAACTTCTCACAAAAGTTGGGAGGCTGGTCTCTCTTCATACCTTATCACTTTCTGACGGCCAAATGGTCATGGACAAGAAGCGTATGGCAACAACCGGCAGTAAGGACACGGCGACGGTCAGGATGATGGTCAGCCAGAGATACGGCTGTCTCAGCGCATTTGAAGCAGCGCCTGCAAGGAATGTGCAAAATGAATGCCCGCAGCCCCTTTCTCCCAAGGACAATACTTCATGGTCTGTAAGTGGATCTACCTTTCATACAGACACATCGGCCTTCCCCAAACACCCCAGATGGCTTAAGGGGTGAACATATTAAAATCCAAACAGGCATAGAAAAATTAGAAGTATTTTAGAATACAGAAGGTGTATATAATCGAACAAACAAGGAAAAATGACAGAGCGTGCATTCAGGATGCATTGATTAAAAAGACACATTTGAAGGGGCCAGTCTGTAGCAGTTGTGCTCAGGCATCTAACTCTGGCAGTTCGAATCCTCCAGTGGCCCTGTTAGATAAATATGAACAATCTCCTCTCATGTAACTTAAATAGAGCCTGAGGAACCCAGTGGAGGGTTGGTTCTTCTTGAAGGCAATGAGTTTGAATTTGGGTGTTTTTTTAAGGAATTTAAAAACATTCTATAGCTTTAGTTTGATACTTTCATAATAGCTTGCACAATTGTGTGACAGGCCTCGGAGACTGGTATTTTACACACCACATTGCATTTAATCAACTCAGAGCAGTGCAATTCTCTGTGTTACATAAAGAAATGGGATCTTGAAGAAGTGAAGAAATTGACCCAAAGTAACAGAACTAGCACAAAACCAGAATTAAATGCCACATCCATCCATAATATCCTTCCACAATCAGGTTCTAGAAAGTAGCACATCAACTCTGCAATTAGATAATTAGCTATATTTGCCAATTAAGACATCACAATTAACACCTTCCAGAAAAAAAACTCCACAACACTTAGGTTTTCTGTACTAACACTGTAAGTTTATGGAAATGTTTATTTTTTAAATACAAAATCCATTTCTTTTTTTCTTGTTTCATCATTTTATTTAGTTTTTCCTTTGTAACTTTTATTTGAACGAACATTTAAAATTCTATCGGGTTTTCATTCAATAATTCAGAGCACTTTTGTATATTTCCTTCCCTTTTACCTAACTTACCTACTTCTTCTTCTTGTTGATAGCCTTCTAGTCGAGCACAACTCATAGCAACCCTATGAACAAAAGGCCTGAAGCCCCTCTACAACTATCAACATTTATGAAATTTCATAGTGTTTCCGGAGGCATGTTATTTAGGAAGTGGATGCCACTCCTACTTCTAACTTAATATGTATTATGTGTTATATTATTGTTATTTTAAAATGCCATTTTTATAGTGCTAAATGTGTCTAGGTTTAAAGGCACCTAATATAGGAATTATTTAAATCCCTGGGTTTTAACATTTTAAAAACACAGTCAATAAAGAAAAGCACAATCATTAAAAAAAGTTCTATCCCAAGAAAAGTTATAAAAACAACAATAACTGGGTTATCCTAACAAGCATGTTGATAAGCTAAATACAAGTCATGAAAAAAAACACCAGATCTTTTCCAAAGAAATGATAGTTTATGAGAATTCTTTTCACTGTTAATCCAACTCCTCTTCAAAATAGGAAGCTACAGAGGAAATATTTGAAAAATTAAAAAAAATATAGGAAGCTCATAACATTCAAATATTTCTATCAGTTTCAAATGACCTTCTGGAATCTGTCACTGTGCCGAGTAGTTTAACCACAGTTGTAACCACTATTTCATCTCCAGTCAATAAGATTAGAGCTCTAACTGAATAGCAGCAATTGCTCTGCATACTCATTTCTAAAAATGCCACCTAGAGTTTGAGAGCTCAAACATACTGCTATTTCATCATTTCATTGGCTAATTTAATAATGTGACATCTTTTGATCATTTACTTTTTTAAAACAATTAAAAATATTGTAGTGGTTAAAGGTTGTACAAATAATTGCATTTCCAGACTGGTATGTGCCTAATTTTGGACTCTTTTTCCCCATAGAAATTCTTACTCGAAAGGTCCGAGAAGTTTATAGTTCATTTATATTTGCAGGTCATGTTTTGGATAGAGGAAAATGAATGCATATTTAACACCCAATTACATATCCACATAAGGTTTATGGGGGGAAACCTTTTAAATCTAATTAAGCAGATACACAAGGGTGTCTTAAAGTTATTTTAACTTTTTTACCTTCCATCAAATTACTACCCATCTAACCCACTCCTACCAATTACCAACAGGATGCTTATTTCACATGCAAAAAGAAATTATTTCTATTTGTTTATCTAGAAATTACATTGAAATAAATCTATACTAATTACATCTTTTTTTTTTCTGAACACAGACTTTTGGAATTTAGAAAACACCAACCTGTAAATTGAAATGCAGATGGAAAGAGAACATGGATCCCGGCACTGTGGAAGTCGAACATGATGCCAAAATAAAGAGCAATGCTCCCAAAGATGGAAAACGCATTCACAAAAGTCCAGTAAGAAGTGTCCAAGCCAATCTGTTGGGTAAACCAGAGGGAAACAGAGCGCTCATTCTGGATAACTGGCAAGAAAGAAAGGATCTAAGAATCCTGAAACTAGAACTCAGCAATTAGGCATGGTTTGGCTTAAATACTATTGAACAATCAGAAATCATCCTCGGTTGAGGTACGGAAAAAGGAAATGTGGTTGGTAAAAGGAATGAAAATAGCTCTCGTATTTTGTCAGGTCACAGAGGCTCTGGCGGGGGGAGTTGGGCAGCCAGGCTTGTCTATTTGCAGATGTACAGGTACCAGCAGATACTAAGTAGTCAATTAATGCCACATACCTGGAAATTCACCGTTACGATAAGAGCAGAGGCAACCGTGACGGCGAAGGACTGGTAGTCCGAAGGGGCCTCACCGTCCTGCCCCATGGTTTGCAGAAAAGCTCCAAAAGGGATGAAGAAGAGGATGAGTGACGTTAAGACCCCGTGCAACAAGCTCACGAAGAACTTTCTGTAGTTAAAGAGGAGGTCCCTCTGTCCCACCACGTAGAGCCTGGGGAATCGGAGGCTGAGTTTGTCGCTGACATCCTTGAAGGGAAAACAGCATTAGAGACGCATGGTAGTCATCAGGCTCCAGGGGCCCCGCAACATAGTCAGTCCCACTGCTCTCTCACAAAGTTCCAACTTGTGCTTAAGTTCTAGGAAGGCAGATCCTGAAGAAGTCAATAAACCTGCAATATTTTCAGAGTGTAGAGCTCAACCACATTCTTTTCCTCCTCACTTATTTGATACTAAATTCAGAAAGGGTTTATGTGAAAGTCTGTGATCTTATTATACATGGAACCCCTGCCAATATTAATATCAAGGAAAAGAAAAGAGGTTATTTTTACCTTCTAAGATAATATATGGCCTTCACATTCTTTGCAGAAATATTTTCACATACAAGCTAGTTCCATATTATTATTTTAATTCATTGTATTAGACATAATGCAGCTGGATTTGAATATTAAACATCTAAATTTTAGAAAGGGCTAAAATAATTTCCTTTAAAAAATGTGTATATTGTTAGGAGAGACTATTTCTTGGACATCTTGGACATCATGCTTATAAAGGTGAAGGGTCAGCAAAAGAGAGGCAGCCCCTTTACAAGATGAATCGACACAGTGACTGCAGCCGTGGGCTCCAGTGTGTCAGAGACGATGAGGGTGGCACAGGGCAGGGCTCAGGTCTGTGTTCACAAGGTTGCCATGAGTCATATTCAACTTGACAGCACTTAAAGTGATAAAATGTTAAAATGATATCACCATGACCACAGAAAGAATGAGGATGGAAATCCACACACTGGAAAGAATGTCACCAAGGTCACTGAATGATTTATGGGAACATCGTTAAATGGGAACTTAAACTGCGGTATCAACTTTTACCATAAACATGATTTTTTTAAATGAGTAAGCTATTAATAGAGAAGCATCATATCCTGTCTAGTATCAGAGTCAAAGTCACTGCTACAGAGTTGGAACTGACTCATACCTGACCCTCCAGTAGAATTCCAAGACTGTAAATCACACAGGAGGAGACTGTCTTTCCCCCACAGAACTGCTGGTGGATTCGAACCACCAAAGAGGTACAAGCTCTGGGTTACCAGTGCAGCTCAACTCTCTCAAAGCCACCAGAGCTCCTATCTCCCCAGCAGGTATAGTTAGTATTAACAACAGCCTCTCGATATGCCAAAAGGCGATGTACGCTTTTGACAATTAATCCAACCTAGTTCTGGGAATATTTTCTTTCTTTCTTTTTCTTTCTTTCCCTCCCTCCCTCCCTCCCTCCCTCCCTTCCTTCCTTCCTAGAACAGTAATTATCATAGTTCAACAAAGAATGATAAAGGGCTTTCTTCAGAAAAAGGAGCTCTGGTGCCCTAATGGATAAGGAGCTGCTCTACTAAGCCAAAGACAGGCAGTTCAAATCCACCAGCTACTCCTCTCATGATTTAAAGCCTCTGAAAATCTGCTGGAGGGTCAGCTATGAGTTGATTCAAAGTCCATGGCAATGACTTTGACTTTTGATCTTACTCAGAAAGAAGTAAAAACTCAAGAAATGCACTGAAGCATTTGTTTTTAAGGCCTCTCATGGGCCAGCTGTCTGTCCAGAAGCACCAGTGAGTGTCCCACCTGGTCGAGCAGGCCCATAAGGAGGACAGGCAGGCTGGAGTAGAGCACGTTGTAGAGGGTGATGAACCAGTCCTCGTAAGCCGTCTGTGGAGGAAGGACACAGAGTCTGTCAGCCACACAGAAATGCTGTCAGCTTCCTTAACACATGCTCAGAGGCCTCCTCAAGGAAGAGGGTGTGTGTGTGTGTGTGTGTGTGTGTGTGTTCCCAGCCACGTGGAGACTCATATGGTCAGATACCTCCTCAAAGCACAGGTGTGGGAACACCTCCAACCACCTGGAGAATCATATGGACAGATGCTTCCTCAAGGAAAAGCTGTTCTCGATAGCAAGGCAAAGAGACAGTGTGTGTGTGTGTGTGTGTGTGTGTGTTAATCTTAAAGACACAGATACTTGAACAAATGTCCCTTTCTTAAAGGCAAAATATTATTAAATCACCAGAAACATCTTAGAAAAGTGAGCCCTCACCTTAATTAACCTACAGCCCAACGTAAAGAAGAGACAGCACCCAAACAGCAAATGCAGAAGAAGCACATTCTCTCCCTCTTCCTCCCAGAACCAAGTGCTGCATTAAGAGATGAAAGAAAAGAACGAGAGAGTCCTGTTACCTGTGCCGAGTAGCCGTTGAAGAAGGAGTACCAGAAGTGAACCAAAGTGAACGCAAAGTTTTTATAGAAGAAGTATCGCAGGAACTTGCACATCCTGATGTAGGACCACCGGCCATGCACCAGCAGCAACCTCTGCAGGTAGCGGAACTGGGCAAAGGAGAAGTCACTTGACATGACGGCCTGCATGCCTTCTTGTCCGCTTATTCCAACACCAATGTGGGCAGCTGTTGGGCAGAGGGAGAGAGACTTTAAGCATGAGTCTATTTAGAGGGGAAAACACTGAGATGACAAGGCTGTTTTGACAGCAAATCAAAAGCAAAGGCTTTTTGATTCACGGAACAATAAATTAAAAAAACAACAACGAAACACCCTTGCTCACAATCCCACATCACTAGCTTCTGAATTCAACACCAAGTCACACATCCAGTCTGCTAAACAGAGCCGACAATAGGGACTTCCTTAAACATCTGTGAAAAGAGCCCATGTGGGGCTGAACTCGGTGTGGATTATCTGCCCAGCCCACAACCAGTCCCTCCCATCCACAGGGTAACCCAAAGCACCTGGGTTTGCCCTACGTCCCTGCCTGCCTGACCACAACCGAGCCCACCGTACCAGGTAATCTGTAGGAGGCAGTACAAACTGGTTTTCCTAACCTTAATTCTGTTTTTGTTTTAAGTGGAGAAATTGAGAAGCAAATTCAAACTCCCCCATTTCTCAGACTCCTTTGCAGCGAGGTGGCCTTTGTGAATTACTTCCATTACTCTGACACTTTCACAAGTGGTTTAGAATGCAAAGGAGTCAGGGCCCAGTATCTCTCTCCTCTTGGTAGCTTCTATAGATGGACTGACATCCTTACTCAGCACCAGTGCCTGGTGATAGGAAAACTGCAAAATCTCCTGAGTTGAGAAGTTCTTCAAAAGACCCTCCAAGGCAGAAACTCCTCTGAAGAACCAGCTAGCATGCAACCTACACGTCGCCCAGTCTACCTAGACCTTTCATAAACACCGAACTCTCTGTATTAAATAACTTCTCAAAATACTCAGAGGGAGTCCATTTCCAGGTGGAAACCCTAATTGACAGGAAACCTATGCTGGGCAAATCCATTTTCCTGGCATTTTAAATTAGGATTCAGGTAGTAAGAGAGTGAGTGAATGAGTATGTGTGTGTGTATAATTTTTAAACTCTGAGGCAGATAAATTTATTTCTGAGGGATAGTGAAGAGCAGAGAAATAACTAAAGTAGTCTAGAGAAAGACACACAGACAGACATACAAACACTGGGCTTCTGATATAATTTCAGCTTTTTCTTAGGCCTGGCTTCTCAGGGCTATGAGACATCTGTTATTTTTATTATAAATCTTCTCTTTTCTTGAAATAGTTTTTGTTACTCCCTGCTACTTGTAATGTGAAGAGTTTTACAGAGACAATACTGTTCAAATCTTAAAGGCTTAGTCATGGTCGCCCGTGCTAAAGACATACCCTTTTTTTGGGGCAAAAAGTTTTCTTGAATGGATTAAAAAAAGAGCCACAATCAGATTCCTTCTTCTTACAGGCTTTGAATAGTCTTTTCAAATGAATTACTAATTTTATGGAGGTCTTGAAAGCCACAAAAGACAGATACTGAGAGGGGAGCTCTGGTGGCCTAGTGGTAAGGAGCTGCAACTACAATCCCAGAGGCGCACGGTTCAAATCCACCAGATGATGCTCTGCCGAGGAAGGAGGGACAATCTCCTCCTGTACCAGTCAGATCTGATTTGACGGTACACTCACACAAAAATAATAAAAAATTAAAAAAAAAAAGACAGACACTGAGATAAACTGAGAAAAAAAAATACATTCGAAAATGCAACTTATTACTGCTCGACTCCCCCAGAAGTGATGGCAAACTCCGAGTTATGGACTAAAAGCAGCTTCAAAAACTAAGCTCCGGTTGCAGAGCACAAGGCCTGGCTGACTTAGTGCATAACTTGAGTGACTCGTCCAAACCCAAATGTTTTCAGTAACACTTTGCAGTCCTCAGAAATAAATTGTATCTCATTCAATATTGACGGTCCCCTATCCAAGCACACAAACTGCTCCTTCTGCCCGCACCAGACCCTTCTTTTTTCCTGAAGCAGCCACAGAGGGAGAGGGTGGGATTCCATCTTGGCTGTGGGACTAAGAATAGGAGCCCTTGCCTCAGGCATTGGCGTCCAGCCTTCCCTGCCCTGGGTGGACTGAGGACAACACGTGAAATGCATGGTCACATTTTATGGGGTAATTAAATGCATCTGAGCAGATGCTGCTCTGTGAGGCAACACTGCCTTTTACCCTGAAATCTCAAAATAAAAAACAAACACACTGTTGTCTGTTTTGACTCTGTGAGGGAGTTCTGGAGGCCTAGTGGTGAGAAACTGTGCTACAATTCCTAAGTTATACAATTCAAAAACACCAGTTACTTCTTGGGAGAAAGATGGGCAATCGTCTTCCATTTGATTTACTGCCTCTGAAGACCCGCCGGAGGGTCCACTACGGGTCAGTTCCAACTTACTGGTCCACAACAACAATAACAACAACAACAACCCTCAAGTGGTAAATCTTTAGAGGAGGAAATTGGTCACCTTTCTCCCATTAAGTGGCTGGTGGATTTGAACTGTCAACCTTTTAGTTAGCAGGCCAACATGTAATACACTCCACTAAGGCTCCAAATGTGAGTTCAAGTGCCTCACTGGTAGGTCCCGGTTAACTAGTTGCTGTCAAGTCTTTTCTCTTGGTGATCTCTTCAGAGCAGAGCTCTGCTCCATGCAGTTTTCGATGGCTGTGTTTTCAGAAATAATCACCAGGCCTTTTTCCAAGGTGTGACTTGAACCACTAACTTCCGCATTAGTGGCCAAGCAGTGAACATCTTGTGCCACCCAGGCAGCCTCTCTCTCGGCTCAGCACTCCACCCTGATTCCCTAACAAATCAATCATTTCCTTCAGTCTTTATCTCATCTCTTTCCAACTCCAGGTATGTTATCAGGTGTCTCAGACCAAGAAGAGGCCACACCCGCACAGACGTCTTGAGGTCTTGAGCTTCGGGACTGAAGCAGCCAGCCCAAGGACACCCCCACATCCTTGATGGGGGCAAAGACACAAGGGGTGCGGTCTCCTCCACCTCTGGTCATCTCTGTCAGGCTCCACAATAAGCAACCCTCTCTTTCTTTTCTTTAGTCATTCAAGGCCATCTGTGCAGACTCACCTCTGCTTAGATTTACTTTTGGGACAAACACTGCATAGTGCCACTGCTGTAGAATGGGACTGACACCAGGGTTAGGGTGAGAACGAAAAAAGCTGGATGAATTATGTATACTGCATGGAAACCGATGAGGGAGAGAACCGTTTAAAAGCAATATATTATAGGGCATTATGATTATCATAAGAGTCCGGAATGAAGGTTGCAGAATGGAGTATACTCAGGGTGGTGGGGAGGTGTGGGGGGATTGTATACCAATGAAGGATTTTTTTTTTTTTACTTTTCAAAGAGAAGAGCGAACTGGGGGTGGGGGGGGTGGAGAGAAAAGAGCAACAATGAATGAATGGAAATCCAAAATCTCTAAATGTTCATTGAAATGAATAAAAAAAAATTACTTCTGATATATGCTAAAAAGGAAACATGTTGGCAAACAGTTGGGCTTTTTGGTTTTTCACACTGGAATTTCTATTTGTGAACACCAATTCCTTTATGTGTATATATTGCCCTTCACATTAGAAACAGAAACATTCTACCATCAAACTGGTTCTGACTTCTAGTGACCCTCCCTGTGGCTTCCGGGACCATACATCTTAGTGGGAGGAGGCTCCCCATCTTTCTCCCAAGGAGTGAATTGCTGGATTCAAACCCCCTGATGCACAGCGTTGGGGTTAGAGCACAGTGCACCGTGGCTTGATGCAGCTGGAAGAAATGATACCTGTTACACAGTGCAGAAAGGCACTAACAAAACTTCAATGGACCTGTTCACTTTAACTTCCAAGGAAACCTCAGAATTTCCTTCCTTTTCATCCAAAATAAACATCACAATCAAAATCCAACTAGATGCTACTGTTGATACTGTGGAATTGGTGCTGGGGTGTGGCAACCCCATGGGTTGTAAGCAGAAACTGTGTCTGTAGTTTTTCCAAGGCTTTGACCCTTTGGAAGGAGAGTAGCAAAACGTCTCTGTCAGGCTTCCTGTGATGAGTTTTCTTGAACTCCCTCTCTGTTAATTGGTGAACATACAAGAAAAAGGGTTTCAAGGCTAAAGCGAGTTAATCTGTTGACAAACCTGCATGGCACCCCCACCCAGCACCTAGTACTCTGCTTTTGAGTTGGATAAAAATAATGTGCAGGTTAGTTAGCCTTTTGATTCAGTGATGGGAGCTCGGCTGGTGTAGTCTGTAGGGGATTGGGGTGTTAACCAAGAGGTGACGCCTCTATAGTGGCTTCCAATCCACCAGCATCACCACGGGCGGCAGAAGGTCAATCTCCTCCCGTGTGATTTACAGCCTCCGAAACCTGCTGGAGGCTCAACTAGGGCTCATTTCAGACTCAACGACTATGAGTTTGAGATTGTTTTGTTTTTGTATTACGTTAAGGTTACATGATAGAAAATACACTCGCTGGTTACTGAGGGAAGAAAAAGACTCAATTCCAAATAAGAAGTGCCATTTGTACAGTAAGACAAACAAGAGGTGCAGGGGACAGTGAATAGGAGCCACACAGGCAGCAGCGACAGACAGACAGACACACAGGTAAAGCAAGTGCCATACGTCACAGAGCAGAGTCCTGCAGAGGAAGGTAAAGTCGGAGTATCTTTAGCACGTGCCAAGGGAGAGGAGGAGGAGATTCTAAGAAAAGAAAGAGACAGATTCATGAGTCACAAAATGGGCTGAAACGAAAATAGTAGTAATAATATATCTAGTTACTATGCATGCATCTACATATATGGTGTTACGTGTCATCAAGTCGCCTGTGACTCAGAGCGACCGTATGTACAACAGCCCTACAACTGCTCTATCCTGGGCCAATCTTATTGTCTCTGACACACCTACCCTCATTACCCCTGTCACTGAATCAATACATCTCATCGAGGGGCTTCCTTTCCTGTGCTGTCCCTCCACCCTGCCAAGCATGATGTCCCACTCCAAGGACTGATCCCTCCTTGCAACATGCCCAAAGTATGCCAGATAAAGCTTCAGAATCCTTGCCTCCTAAGAGTAGACTGGTTTAACCCTCTCCAGAATGAACTTGTTTGTTCTATAAGCAATCCATGGTATATTCAGTACTCTTCTCCAGCACCACAGCTCAAAAGCATCAATTCTCCTTCTGTCATCTCTAGTCATTGTCCAGCTCTCTAATGCATTATAAATGATTGCAAAGACCATGGCCTGTATCAGGCGCACCTGTCTCCAGACTAACATCATTGCTCTTCAGTACTTTGGAGAGGTCTTTGTCAGCAGACTCGCCCAAAGCAATACATCTTTTCATTTCCTGGTTGCTGGTGTCCATATATTAATTAACATAGAATATTCCATCTAAATAATGAGAAAGAGCTGGAGGAGACAGAATTTCAGATGAAATTCTCTTTCAGATGAGACTACATTGCCATGAGAACCACTATCTCTTCTGCCCCCTTAAATAGCCAGAGGTGAGCTTTCTGAGGGTGACTCACAGGTTTACCCACCATGCCTGAATAATTGCCTCCTTGGAGACAAGGGTTCTGAGGCTTCATCTGACATACTTTGGACATGTTGCAAGGTGGAACCAATCCTTGGAGAGAGACGTCGTGCTTGGGAGGGTGGAGAGACAGCGCAGGAGGGGAAGACCCTCGATGGGATGTATTGTTTCCGTGACTGGGGTAATCGGAGTAGGTGTGTCAGAGACAATTAAGATTGGCACAGGATAGAGCAGGGTTTAGGGTTGTTGTACATAGGATCGCTCTGAGTTGCAAGTGACTCGAAGGCACCCAACAACAACATTAAAGTGGTAGAAATCTAGTAACGGCATGCAACCCTAATGCTCCCTTCCCAAACATTCCTACCACTCTCTTCATCAGCAGCCTTCTCCAGGGTCAACCAGCTGTCTGCAGAGACTCACTTTTGATCATATTGACGTCATTGGCCCCGTCTCCAATCGCCAGCGTAATGGCCTTCTTGTACCTCTTGACCAGGTCCACCACCATGGCCTTCTGCTTGGGCGTGACCCGGCAGCAAATGACTGCCCTGCACTCGCAGGCCAGGTCCACGAAGTTCTTCTGCCGCTGCTCCTTCTTGGCCTCGAGCCGCCTTTTGCTCTGAGTCCGCATCCTTCTTTCCTCTTCTGTCCTCGGGAACTTCAGTTTCAGAATCTTACTTCTCTTGGTCTTTTTCTCTAGAAGGATTTCATTCTGTGAAATCGGAGACAAAAAGGGATGACCACCATTTAGGTTTATAACTGTTAGTATCACTCCATTCCCCAAACCTTAACTATGTGGAGAAAAATTCCTGGGTCTGTTGTACAACTGATTATAAATTTCCTGTAAACATTTAGAAAATATAAGAATGTGCAAAGAGGAAAATGTAAATGAGCCATTAGTTAATAAGTATCAGATAATAATTGTCAGTTTGGTAGAATTATTGTTGTTTATATATATCTCCTGAGCCCTGATATTATAGTGGTTTAAGTGTTTGGTTGCTAACCAAAAGATTGGCAGTTTGAACCCATCAACTGCACCAATGGAGAAAGATGAGGCAGTTTGCTCCCATTGAGACATACAGCCTTGAGAACCCACCCAATTGAGGGTCGTCATGGGTCAGAACTGAGGCAATGGCAATGTTGTTATATACCATCAAGTTGTAACTGACTCACAGCTGACTCTCCAGTGGGTTTTCACAATCAGTAAATCACAAGGAGGAGGGGATGGTCCATTTATCTCTTGTGGAACAGCTAGTGGATTCGAACCACATGTCTTTGCATTGGCAGCAAAGCTCCTAACCTCTAGGCCACCAGAGCTCTAACAATGACACTGGGTTTTCATATGGAATAGTTCGTTTCAAACTTAAGAAGTTCAACTTCTTTTATACGCTAACAGATTTGACAGTGAGTAACCAATATTTAAAAAAAAAAAATCCCAAACTGGTCCATAAAAAACCCCTAAACAAAACAAACCCATCAAAAAAACTGGTCAATGACCAACTGCTTTAGTTTTGAGACAAAGACAGGAATCCAGTGCAGATACGTACCAACCAAGAACCAGTGATGATTAAGGCACGGTTTTCCCCAGGAGGGAAAAAGGGTTCTTGCACTGGGGGTATAAACTTTGCGTAGACTCCGCTTCTGTTCCTCTGGTTTTCCATCCTTGCGTGAAGAAGGGAACTGGGCGAAAACAAATGTAGGTGTTTAGAGTTCATGAGCATAAACAGGCCCTTGGCCATGAGGCATTCTGACATGCTGCCAATTCTTGTCAATCAAGGTAGGTAGGTTTTATGAAGTCACTATGGACCCTGAACCAGCAAATACAGAAGCACCACACTAACGCAACACAGGGTGGGGCCCTGCAAGCCTCTGGTCACAGCATTTTCCTCAGCCATTCAATGCACAATCTTAGTTTAGGTATGTCTCTGCAGAAAGAAGGAGCCCTGGTGGTGCAGGGGTTAATCAGTTGGCCCTAGCTGTAAAATTGGTGGTTTGAAACTACCAGCCCCTCCATGAGAGAAAGATATGGCAGTTCACCCAGAAAGATTCCACCCTTGGCATCCTCAGGTATAGTACTTCTCTATCCAATAGTGTCACTAGGAGTTGGTATCAATTTAATGACTTTGAGTTTGGATAAATTCATGAACATAGAACTCATGGCCAATAGTACAGTAACTCACGCCTGAAGGAAGTGTATTTGATACCTGTGTTTTCTCCATCCTCTGCTTAGAAATAGCAGGCAGAACTCTAGCACTCTGCTTGGGGGGTTTGGTTTTGTTCTAGAATATTACTTACAATTAATCAGTGTAATAAATTACTAGTATAATCAAATCCTTAGTGTCACCTTTCTGTTCACCCAATTAGATCTATTTATTAATATTTGCTCCTTTATCCCTCCTGTCTCATCCCTGTTAACTCTCCAAGATGGATTCTCTCTGTGTGTAAACCTTTCTTTAGGTTGTTTGTTTGTTTGTTTTATATTTTTGGTTTTATACTAGAATTATCCTATTGCTCCAGGGGGTGAAAGATGGACCGTCTTCCCTTAAAGATTTAAAGTTTAGAAAGTCAAGGGAGGTGTGGAGTTTACTATTCAAAATAATAAACTTGCTTCTGCCATGTGTATGGGTAGAAATATGCAAATAGGTCATGTTAGTCTATTCAGAAGGGGACTGGCTATCTCATCAATCCACAAGGGTATTGGCTAGTCTCGCCATTAAACTGAGTGATGACAGCAGATGAGAGTCTTTCTCATCACCAACAAAAAAGGAGGAATGCAGTGGATGCCCTTCAGGATGAAACATTCTTGCACCAGCTGAACTTACAGCAGCAGCAGCAGCCATGGCCCAGAGAACCAGAGATCCAACACGAGATAGATCTGACTTTGGAACCGCTACCCACCCCTCCTCAGCAGGGCCAGAACCAGAGCTAAGTTAAGAGCCTTTGCCCAAGTTTGTTGAACAATTGGGAGTGGTGGTGGGTCATAATGAGCAGGATGGGAACTTTGAACACTCGTGTTAAGCTACGAGGCTCAAAGTGGACGTGCTTGGGAGCGTATGTTGGAGGGTGTCCTAACTGTATTCTACTATTAACCCAGCTTATAACCTTTCTAACTTCCCCAATATGGTTCTGTGTGGTCTGTGAGCTATATTATCATATTTTGGACCCGATAAGGCAGTAAAATTGGTATTATGATGAGTTGGAAAAGGTGCAGGGAGCATGGGGCAATATGTCTGACCTCATGATGATTGGTTTTGTCTTACTGATGCTGTTGGCAGGGACAGATCCCCTTTGTGAAGCTGGTGAGGGTCAGATATGACCGTCCCCATATGGCTCTTTCCCCCCTCCCCATGTTGTGTGCTGTTGAAATGGATCCAACTGGCACAGCAGGAGATTGCCCCTCTTTCTCCAGCAGAGCATCTGGTGGGTTCAAACCATATACCTTTGGGATCACAGCATAGCTTCTTGCCACTAGGCCACCAGAGCTCCAGCCCTTGCTTTCTTTACATGAGCATTGCCATGAGTCAAAATCAACTCAAGAGCCAGGGTGTTGATTTTTGGGGATTTGATTTAGCAGGATACCTCCTGTACTGAGATAACTTGGCAAAGCTTTATCACCACCATTACGGAAAAGAATAGCTGTGGCCATCACTTCCCTCAGCATCTTCCAGGGCTAAGTAAGGGCCCTGAGACAGCCTGAAAGCAGGGTTGTAAGAAACTGAGGAACAAATGGAGCAAATACAGCAAACAAAGGGTGGAAACTCTGTACCACTCTTTTACACAGCTTCCTAACACGACAGGGATAAGCTCCAGTGGTGGTGTGGTTCAAGCACCTGTGAGCCTAAAAGGTCAGCAGTTCAAACCCACCACGGAGAAATAGCCCATTTCTCATCTCTGCTGTGTCTACCGAAGATGCTCTCTCTGCCTGAAATGATGAGCTGAAACTGTTCTGATCCCCAGGCCCTCCACTTACTTGATATCTTCCCCGTAGCAGATGGTGGTGTCTTCTGTGAGAAGTTCACAGGCAAATCCTATATTCTCAGCAGTTTCTGCAACAGATAAAATTAAGGCAGAAGGTCATTCCTACTGTTGATCTGAATAAATAACTTTCTCAAGAAGTTGGTTGTTTTGTTTGTTTTTTTAATGGACAATAATAGACCCAACCAAATATATTGTTTTTCTTACAGTCCGTTGCAGAAACCTCATTTTAAACAAAACACTTCCTGTAATACAACTATTGTTGTTGTTATGTACCATCGAGTCAGAACTGACCCATAGTTGATCCCCCCGGGGGTTTTCACTGGAAAAGATGGCTCATTTTCCACCCTTAGAGCAACTGGTAGATTTGAACCACATACCTTTGTATTGGCAGCACCATTTTCTGCCACTAAGTAAAAATTCCTTGTTACACAGAGTTCCCTGTGATACAGTTGGTCAAAGTTAAACTTTGGGCTGAGATGCTCCGATGAAAGTTGCTCTTTGTTCTAGTCAGAGCTAATCTAATGATTCAAATCTGTCAGCGGCTCCAAGAGAGAAAGATAGTCAATCTCCTCCTCTGCAATTTACAGCCTCAGAAACCCAGTGGATGGTCAAGAAAGAGTCCATTCTGACTCAACAGCATTGAGAGGTGGTTTGTTTGTTTGGGGTTTGTTTTGGTGTATTACAAAATAAGATCTCTTGATGATGTCGTATTTTAATGCTCAGCTGTTTAACTACAAGGTTTGTAATCTGAGCCCACCACTGGCTGCAGGGGAGAAAGACATGGGAGTCTGCTTCTGGGAAGATCACAGGCTTCGGGACCCTGGGAGCAGTTCTTCTCTGCCTTACAGGGTAACTATGAATCAGAACTATCTCTGTAGCAATGGTTAGGTTTGGGTTTTTATTATCATTTGCATATATTGATTATTTAAGAAACCACTGTTCATTAAGATGCTAAATGCACACAGGTGCATTAAGTGTAATATCTGAATTGTATGTAGTGTAATATCTGTTGTTGTTGTTGTTATGTGCCATCGAGTCACTTGTGACTCATAGCGACCCTATGTACAAGAGCCCTAAATGCCGTTCTATCCTGTGCCAACCTTGCAGTCTCAAACACACTCATCCCCACCACTCCACTCACAGAATCAATCAATTTCATTGAGGGTCTTCCTCTCCTGCGCTGTCCCTCCACTCTCCCAAACATGATGGTCCTCTCCAAGGACCAGTCTCTCCTTGCAACATGCCCAAAGTATGTCAGACAAAGCTTCAGAATCATTGACTCCAAGGAGCATTGGCTTCACCCTCTCCAGGACAAACCTATTTGTTCTCCTAACAGTCCCTGGTATATTCAATACTCTTCTCCAGCACCACAGCTCAAAGGCATCAACTATCTTTTTATCATCCCTAGTCACCGTCCAACTCTAATGCATAGCATGTAATTGTAAAGACTATAGCCTGGATCAGGAGCACCTTAGTCTCCAGCCTGACATTATTGCTCTTCAGTACTCTTGAGAGGTCCCTCACAGTTGACTTTCCCAATGCAATTCACCTCCTGATTTCCTGGCTGCTGTTACCAAGAGTATTGATTGTGGAACCAAGTAAACTAAAACTGTTAACTATCTCAATCTCTTCATCATCCATCCTGATGCTGCCAATTGGCCCAGTGGTGAGAATCTTTGTTTTCTTGATGCTGAGTTTAATAAATACATTTGAAGTTGTGTTGATGGTTCCCATGTGCCATTACCACTCAGCTGATCCTATAGGCAGCACTCCTCTCCCGTATTATAGTGTGTCATTCATTGTTCTCATTAGGCAGAGCAAGAGGAATCTCCTTACTTCCAGGAAGAAGCTCTCGGAGTTAAGTGTCAACATCCAACAACTACACATTGAACTTTAAAAGGAAAAATCTTTCATAGGATATGAAGTTGTTAGGTTGTTTTGTTTGTTTTTTTTTTAAACAGTAACTTTTATTAATGGTTGGGTTTAGTTTTGATCTGGGTTTTTTTTGGGGGGAGGATATCAAGTTTTAAATAAGATTTTTCCCCCCCAACCAAAATTAGCAGAACTGCACTTAGAAATTTTCCATTCTATGTCCAGCAAATTACAAAGAAGTGGGGGACTGTAGGGTGAAAGGGTCCACACTGCTAGAGGGAGAAGATTGCTCACAGCCAGGACACAGCAGGAGCTGACAGAGCCTGGAGGGTAAAGGCGCTGCCTGGGGGAGTTGAGGGGAGGATCTGTCAGGACCGGCTGGAATGAGAACACCCATCTCCACCCTAGCAGCGAGGGTGTGGACAGGATGGAAAGTCTGAGGAGGTCAGCTCCGGCAAGGAAAACAGCAGCCGGAAGTGTTTGTGAATTAGCAGAGAAGCTGCCCCGAGCAGCCAAGTTACCCTTTTTGTCTCCTGTAAGTACCCAGATCTTAATGTCTGCTTTCGCCAGTTTGGAGATGGTCTCTGGGACTCCATCCTGAAGCTTGTCTTCAATAGCTGTAGCTCCCAATAGCTGGAAAGTACATTGAAAGAAGAAAGAGAGAATTGAGTAAAGCAGAAGTTTCCTATCCTTGCAGCTTCTGGTTCATGCCAGGGCTGGCATTAACAAGGGAGGCTGTGGCATTTCAAACCCACCACAAACCAAAAAGCTGGAAACCTGTCTCCTAACGCATAAATGATTTCATTTACTGAGGCAAGTTCAACATCAAGGACAATGACAACATACTTTCATATGCATATGCTGGGGAAATAAAACTAATCTAGCTCTTCTCATTAATGGTCAATATTAGCTAATTGTTGGACATTTCCTATTCATCTCAACTCCAAAGCTGTATCTCACTTGGAAATGGTAGCTTTTTTAATTTAAAATTTTTCACAACAAAAAAAGTAATTTATGCTAACGCCATATATACAAGGCCACAGGTATATGCTAGCTGGTGGCCTAATGGGTTAAGTAGTTATGTGGCCAACTCAAAAAGGCCAGTGGTTTGAGTCTACGAGCTGCTCTGCAGGAGAAAGACAGGCAATTTCCTTCCATTCAATATACAGTCTCTGAAAAAACACTGGAGGTCAATTATCAGTCAGTTTAGACTCAATAGCACATAACAACAACTGTGTAAAATTAATAGTGAGTTCTATAAAAATATAAATATAGTGGAAATTCGGGTAGATGTTCTCCCACTGTTTTCTCTTTAGTAGTTTCTCCTAATGGCACAGAAGCACAGTTAAGAAATCAAATGATGCATTGGGCAAATATACTGTAAAAGATATGTGTGTGTGTGTGTGTGTGTGTGTGTTATTACTTCAACTTTATTTTTTTTAACCTGAACTACTGAAACAATAACAAACATTAGTGAGATCATGACTCAGATTGTAATATGTATTAAAATGCTCTGTTATTTTGTGTGATAAAATATAGGATATCCCCAAACAATCTTCTTCTCTTCCTCTTTAAAGAAGTAACCACTGTCCAATGTCCTGAGGTGGTGGTTGTTGTTGTTGTTATGTGCCGTCCAGTCGAGTTGTTTGCGACTCATAGCGACCCTATGCACAACAGCCCTAAACCCTGCTCTATCCTGCGCCAACAGCACCGCCTCTGACACACCCATCCTGATTACCCCAGTCACCAAATCAATCCATCTCATAGAGGGTCTTCCCCTCCTGCACTGTCCCTCCACCCTCCCAAGCATGATGTCCCTCTCCAAGGACCCGTCCCTCCTGGCAACATTTCCAAAGTATGTCAGACGAAGCCCCAGAATCCTTGCCTCCAAGGAGTAGCTTGGTTTAATCCTCTCCAAGATGAATCTGTTTGTTTTCCTGGCAGTCCATGTTACATTCAGTACCCTTCTCCAGCACCACAGCTCAAAAGCATCCACTCTCCTTCTGTCCTCCCTAATCATTGTCCAACTCGCTGATGCATAACAAGCGATTGCAAATACCATGGCCTGTATCAGGCGCACTTTAGTCTCCAGAGAGACACTTGCTCCTGAGTACCTTAGAGAGTGTCCTGAGGTAGATGTGCTATTTCTTCAATGTTTTTAAAGTTGCATTTAATAATATATTCCTTGGGTTTCAGTATCTTTTTTTTTTAAATGGTTACCGTCAAGTACTGTCAAGTCAATTGTGACTCCCAGTGACCTTATGGACTAATCGAAACCTTGCTTACCCTGTGCTTCCCTCACAGTCTCCCCGTGTTCAAGAGAAAGATCTTGTTAAAGTGTTAAGAAGCAGCCTGTCATTGTTACACAGTCGTCCCCCAACCCAGCTACCTTCTATGCAGCATTTATTCTGGACTCTTGTCATGTCAATAATACCTAATCATATTTTCCTTTTATATAGCTCTCTATCTCGTCTGTTTCAATGCTGTGTACATTATTTGTCCTCTCAAGGGGAGCTCTGGTGGCCTAGTGGCAAGGAACTGCACTGCAATCCCAGAGGCGCACTGTTCGAATCCACCAGATGCTCTGCCGGGGAAGGATGGACAATCTCCTCCTGTACCAGTCAGATCTGATTTGACGGTACACGCACACAAAAATAATAATAATAAAAAAAATTTAAAAAAAATATAAAAAAAAATAAGAACATTATTTGTCCTCTCTGTAATACGTTTCCCCCCAACTCCCATGTCAGTCCTGTTTTATACCAGTGGCATTATTCAGTATTTATCTTTTTGTGACTGAGATATTTCACTCAGCATAATGTCCTTCGTGGTCACTATTGTGTGTAATATTTCATGAGTTCTTTGTTTTTTAGTGCTGCATAATATTCCAGTGTGTGAACTATTTTTTTTATTATTATTGTGTGTGTGTGTGTGTGTGTGTGTGTATACTGTCAAATCAGATCTGACCTGACTGGTACAGGAGGAGATTGTCCCTCCTTCTCTGGCAGATCATCTGGTGGATTCGAACCGTGTGCCTCTGGGATTGCAGTGCAGCTTCTTTCCACTAGGCCACCAGAGCTCCCCTTGAACTATTTTTTTTTTTAAGTGAACTTGGGGGTGGGTAGGGAGGAAAATGTGCAACAACAATTGAATGGAGATCCAAGTTCTTTATAAACTTTCCTTAAAATATCAATTTAAAAAATTTTAAAAAAGAAGATGCAGTAGCAGCCTCTTTGTACTCCCTGACCACTCCTCATGGCAGCAGAAGCCTGGTTGCCGTATGCTGGTGATTGAGCAAGCCTGGTGGGCGGGCATAGAGGTCTGGCCCAGACTCCTTGTGTCCCCGGGGTCTGCATTCCAGATGCTTTGCAGGTGTTGAGCCCTTCCCAGCCAGGATAATGGTGAAATATTTCCTAGGCCAGAGCGTGCTCCAGAGTTCCTGGGACCAAGTGTTCACCGCCTTCTGGCAGCAGTACCCAAATCCCTATAGCAAACATGTCTTGATGGAAGACACAGTACACCGTGAGGTTAGCCCTGACCAGAAACTCCTGTCCCGGAGACTCCGGACCAAGACGGACAGGATGCCCCGCTGGCCTGAGCGACTGTTTCCTGCCAGTGTGGCTCACTCGGTGTACATCCTGGAGGACTCTCTTGTGGTCCCACAGAATCAGACTGTGACCACCTTCACAACAACCATGCCCGGCTGATGGTGGTGGAGGAACGCTGTGTTTACTGTGTGAACTCTGATAACAGTGGTTGGACAGAAATCCACCGAGAAGCCTGGGTCTCCTGTAGCTTGTCTGGTGTCCCCAGAGCTGTCCAGGAATTAGGTCTGGCTTGATTTAAAAGCAAATGACCAAGACTATGAAGGGTCTTGAATACATCTTGGCCAACCTACAAGGTGAACCCCCTTCTAAGACACTTGTTGAAACTGCCAAGGAAGCCGAGGAAAAGGTAAAGGAGACAGCACTTAGAGCCACAGAGAAGGCCAAGGACCTAGCCAGCAAGACAGCCACCCAGAAACAGCAGTAGCAGCATCAACAGTTTGTGTAGCCATCATCAGCCCTGCACAGCCCTTCTACCACAACCATCACACAGCAGACAATGCAGCTCCAACCCCTATCCCCAGTGTGCTCTTATTAGAAATCAACACCCAGCCCTCTCTGTTGCCTAAGAGATAGGCTGGGGTGAGGGGCAAGGGTCTCGTTTGGCATCTACAGAACAGCAAGCATGTTATCCATGGTCGGTGCTGATTCTGCATATTCCTCTCACTTGTCAGCTGAGGCACAGAGAGGTACAGACTCGCGCGGGTGAGTGTGCCAGTGAAGTGGGAAATGCTAGACTGTAAGCTCTGTGAGGGCAGGAGTCTGCTTGCTCTCTGATGTGTCCCAAGTATTAGAAATAATATCTAGTATGTAATCGCCACTCAATAAATAACTGTTGACTTAAATAAAAAAAAAGAGGAAGCGGCCTCTCCTTCATATTTCCTTTCAGGGAGGGAGGTCTGTCCCTTTGGGGGTATTACTTTCTAATAAATCTATATCTACTATTTCACCCTCAAAAAAAAAAATTAAAGTGTTAAGAAGCAAAGTGTTCCTCTGAAGGGATATATGTACCTGACTCAAGCTATGGTCATTTCAACTGCTTGTTATGCTCGCTTTAAAGGTGGACAATGAAAACAGAAGCCCAAAGAGTAAAAGCTTTTCAAATTATGGTGTTGGTAAAAGATACTGAATATCCGACGGGCTGCCGGAAGAACAAATCTGTGATGGAGGAAGTAGGGCCATGCTGCTCTTTACAAGAGAGATTGTGAAACTTCATCTTGCTTATTTTGGACACGTTATGAGGAAGGACTAATTATTCCTGGAGACACTGGTTGGTAAAGGAGGGTGTTAGCAAAAAAGAGGAACCCTGCAATGAGGTGGAATGACACAGTGACTGCAACATTGGGTAAACATACCCGCTACTGTGAGGTGGACGCAAGATTGGGCGATACTTCCTTCAGTTATACACAGTGTCTCGGAGAGAGAATCAAACTGATGGTCCCTAACAATAACAACAAAACAGAAGTACTTCTATTCTGCTTGCTGAAGACACGGAACTCAAATCATGGACCTAGTTACAATCTGAACATTTCAAATGCTGAAACCAGAATTCATTTTCAAGCATGAGATTAAAAAAAATTACATAAAAAGATAACAAAGCTTTGATTTCTAGTAGAGAATACCCAGGGCATAGCTTTCATGGTAAAAACTCACAATCAGGTCTTTTTCAATCTCCTCATACACTTTATCGAGAGCTTCGTCCCGGTTGGTTGAGGCCACACTTGCAGCCATGAACTTTTTATTCCATTCTGCAAATTCCTTTTCTTCAATTTCCTTGTAGCAAAGGCACAGGGTCCTGAGAGTCTCGCTTGCAAAGATCTGTTTTATTTAAAAGACAAGCCACCCACCCAAAACAATAGTTAATTTTTGACAAGTCGAGACAAGTCTGAAATCCTACTTTGAGTTAACATGCAGAGAATTTAAAAGGAAACTATCAGACAGGTGGATGCTATACACATACACACATTATAGAGAAAATCAGATTCCACTTTGTTTTCCGAGTATTTTTGGGTCCTGGGGTTGTATTACTGTAAGTGTAACTTGTTGCACTTTACAGATACTGTATTTTTACAAACTTAAGGTTGGTGGCATTTCTTGAGACAAACAAGCTTACTGGCACCATTTCCCCTATACTATGTGCTCACTTCCTATTCCTGTGTCACATTTTGGTATTTCTCAAAATATTTCAAACATTTTTATAGTGTCATTGCACATTTAACAGACCACAGGATGGTGTCAACATAACTTTTATGTACACTGGGAGGTTCCTACAATCCATGAGACTCGTTTTCCTGCAATGTTTGCTTTATTTTGGTGGTTTGGAACCGAACCTGCAAAATCTCTAAAGTATGCTTGTATCTTCCAGGTTGTTAAAGGTGAAAAGATAACATTCTTCTAAGCCAAGGCACTAGCTTGCCCTTTAATGACTACAAAAATAGCAGATGAAGGGAGTTACCTGGGAGAATACAGAATGGGATAAACACAGACCTGGCTACTTCATAAATTTGCTCCTAAAAACTGTGTTATAGTCCACTCAGCCATGAACTTTGGACCAAGAATTAGTCCCTAAAATCCATTCTAAAACACATGAGCTATTAAAGCTGAAATGAAATACTGCCATAGAAAAAAAGAGTATCTGGAACATTTCTCATGGTGAACAGATTTAAACCATTTTAAACAGCTTAAACATAAACAAGTGGAAAATGTTTTATTACTTTGTAGTCACATTTTTATTTGCTCAAGAAAAAAAAAAAAGACTGGTTTTCCCAGTGGAGGGTTTGCTTTAGAAGAAGGCTCCACATTTATTAAATTAGGTTCTGACCTTATTTCATGAAATTACTATTGTTCATATCCTCTTGAGAACACTTAGCACCAGTCTCTACTCTTGGAATGTGACACCACTTGGGTAAACAGCCTATTCACCATGCTTCCTTCTGAAGGATCACTGGCTGGCTCTAAAACTCAACTGGTCACATCTTTAAAGCCCTGAGAAGAAACCATCATTTGTCAAGTACCCCCTGAGGAGAACAAGGCAGGATGCTTTCTTTTTCAGCTATCTCCATTGTGGAATTATCCCTCCACTCTTTTGCACTGAAAATTAGTAATTCAGATGCTATGGCAGTTATTTCCAAGCATTCAAAACTAGTAAAGAGGCATTCACGGGACACCAGGTCTGACTGAGCTTTACTATCATTTTACAGACCTAAAATAGTTAGATTAGTAAGGGTGAAAATTCCGCAGCATTCAGAAGCATTGCACCATCACTGAACCGAGTATAAAGCTTTGTAAGGCAACTAATTACAGCAGTAAAGACCTAACTGATTCACCAACAAAGGTATCAGAACTCACGTACTCAAAGCATTGCTTTGTCATTCCATGCTATAGAGGAACATGTCCTTTCCATCACTATGCCCATGGGTCTAAGACTAAGGCTTGGTATGGCTCTGGAGCTGACTCAAGGTTACCAGAAGTGAGGTACACCATTCCTCTAGGTCAGTTCTCAGAACCTGGAGACCTGGATGCTGGGAAAGGGTGCCATGTTTGTTTCCCAGGAAGTTACAGAAGCCAGGCTGCGATTAACCCACCTTGGTTCCCCCTTTGGCACGAAGTGTGTGTGTGTGTGTGTGTGTGTGTGTGTGTGTGTGTGTGAGTGATACTTACATCCAGGGCATCCTGTGTCTCTTGCTTTGAAGGATTCATCTGATGTAACCTTTCATAAATGACGGTGTCAGCTCCTTTACAATAAAGCCTGATATTGCCTTCTGGAGTTCTTACTGAAAGAGAAATGAACTTGAATTTGAATTCTTGATGAAAAATTTAATGTACAAAGAGAACTTGATTATTCTACAATGATTAAACTTAAACTCATTAGTGCACCTAGAACAAGGTTGCCTTCCACAAAACACAAAGAATGTAGCAGAGAAATAAATACATAAAGTTCCCTCACTGGGGCTCAGCTTTCTATACCTTTATTCTTCCAACAAGTTTGTTGTGGGTTTTTTGTTTTGTTTTGTTTTTGTTTTTGTTTTTTTTGTGGCCTAGTGACAAGGAGCTCTGTTACAATCTCCAAGACATGTGGTTCAAATCCACCAGCTGCTCTGTGGGAGAAAGATGAGCAACTACCTCCCATGTGATTAACTGCCCCTGAAAACCCCCGGAGGGTCAGCGATGGGTCGGTTCTCACTCAATACACAACAGAAACACCACTAAGTGTCATATGCTATGTTAGCTACTTTCTTCCACAGTCATTAATCATCTGTGCGAATCAGTAGGAATCTTTCTTACCCATAAACTCACTGTTACGGTTAAACGGCATCAAGTCAACTATTAACTAACTGTGACTCCATGGGATGAACCAGAACCGCCCCATAAGGCTCTCTAAGTTCATTGTTTATGGATGCAGATTACAAGGTCTTTCTCCTGTGGAGAAAGCTGGGTAGGTCTGAATCACTAACCTTTTGTTGGTAACTGAGCTGCTTAACCATCGCACCACAAGGACTCTACTGTTTTCAATACTCAGATGGCACCATGTATTTTGTTGTGATTGAAAATGAAGAGGACCTGAAGCACCTGCTGCAGAGGGTCAAGGACTGCAGCCTACAATATGGATTGAGGCTCAATGTCAAGAAGACAAAGATTCTCACCACTGGACCAATTGGCAGCATCAGGATGAATGGTGAAGAGACTGAGATTGTACACAGCTTTAGTTTGCTTGGCTCCACAGTCAACAGTCTTGGCACCAGCAGCCAGGAAATTAAAAGGTACATTGCCATGGGAAAGTCTGCTGTTAGGGACCTCTCCAAAGTACTGAAGAGCAATGGTGTCTCTCTGGAGACTAAGGTGCATCTGATACAGGCTTTGGTCTTCGCAATCACTTGTTATGCATCAGAGTTGGACAATGACCAAGGAGGACAGAAGGAGAATTGATGCCTTTGAGCTGTGGTGCTGGAGAAGAGTATTGAGAATACCATGGACTGCTAGGAAAACAAACAGATTTGTCCTGGAAAGGGTTAAATCAGGTGGCTCCTTGGAGGCAAGGATTCTGAGGCTCCGTCTAACATATTCTGGACATGTTGTGAGGAGACACCGGTCCTTGGAGAAGGACATCATGCTTGGGAGGATGGAGGGACGGCGCAGGAGGGGAAGGCCCTCTATGAGGTGGGTTGATTCAGTGACTGGGATAATTGGGATGGGAGTGTCAGAGACAGTGCGATTGGCACAGGACAGAGCAGAGTTTAGGGCTGTTGTACATAGGGTTGCTATGAGTCGCAAGCGACTCGACGGCACATAACAACAACAACAACTATTCTGATCTATGCAATACACATGTTCATAGTATCCGTCTCAATGCTAACTAGACTTTACATTCTCCAAGACAGATGCCAGCAGGATTATCAGCCTAGCCACAGAGGACACGCAGCAAGCCTGTGCCAACTGAGAGTTCAGGGGAGAGTTAAGCCTATATTATACATTCTTGGATAAAATGGGAGTGGAATTTTATTACACTGAGTGGAGTAAGTCAGGCACAAGAGGACAAAAAATTTCTAGAAGAGGGTGAATGCATAGAGGCCAAAGTTAATTAGTGGTTAGTACAAACGGCATGGGGAGAATGGGGAACTAGTGCTTATGGGGTGCAGAGTTTCTATCTGGGAGGATGAAAAATCAGTCTATGGAGATGGGTAGTGGTAATTGCTGTGGAGCTTTGGAAGACTGTTGTTGTTCACCTTCAAGTTGAAACCAACTCACCGTTGACCCTCCAGTGGGTTGTCAAAGCCTATATATTGCACAGGAGATTGCTCATCTTTCTCCTGTGTGGCAGCTGGTGGGTTCAAACCATTTGCCTTTGTGATGGCAGCACAACTCTCTACCCACTAGGCCACCAGAGTTCCTTGGTGAGAGTAATTAATGTCATCAAGTTGCATGTTTACAATTAGTTACAATATAATGTTTTTGCTATATATGTGTATATATATGATGTTATTGTTGATTGCCTTTGAGTTGAGCACAACTCACAGCGACCCTATGAACCAAAGGCCTGAAACCCCTCTACAACTATTGACATTTGTCAAATTTCATAGATTTCCGGAGGCATGTTGTTTAAGAAGTGGATATAAATATAAATATATGATGAGAATAAAACAAAAGTACATAAAAATTCAATATTGTGGTGGAGAAAACTTTGTAGATCCCACCTTTCCCCAGAGATCACAGTTCATCACCAATAATGGGTCACATTGATGTCACAAGCCTTCTGATATAACATGCTGAGGAAGCCAGCATCATTTCTGTGCTTTTTTCTGCCAACAGTGGGTAACCTGACATCAGCTGACTTGAACTTCATAAACATGTCAATGTGTAGAGAATTGGGCTGTGCAGGGGAAAAGTTGATGAACTGTTCTAGTGCCAGGGAGATCGGAGATATGATTAGCTAATGCAGAGTGTGATCACGAAGGAGAGCTAGAGAAAAAACCTCAAAGGGAGGAAAGGGAAATAGAGAGGAAGCAACAAATAAACATTACTGGAATGGTAGATTAGATAATAATGCATTGTATCATGTTGAATTGGGGGATTTTGACTATTGTATGTAAGTTCTTACGAAACCCTGCTTGAGTATTTAGGTGTAAAAGGACATTACACACAGCAAAAACCAAACCCTCAGCCCTGAGCTATTCTGTCCTAAAGACACTTATAGGTCAGAGTAGAATTGTCCCATAGGGCCCCAGATGGAAATCCTTATAGGATCAGACGGCTTCATCTATTTTCTGCAGAATGAACCATCAACCTTTTGGTTCATAGTAATGAACACCAGACCTCTCAAAAGGGACATTAAGTCTGCAGTTTACTCTGAAATAGCTCAGAAAGAAATAATCTGCCGTGTATTTAATGAAAATGCCTAAAGAAACGTGACAAATGTTAACAGCAGGTATATAGGCAAGGCACACAGGAATTCTTTATTCTAGCAACTTTACATCTGAAATCGTTTCAAAGTAGGAAGACGTTCAAACAGTGGTCATGATCACCATCATCTTCACTTGGTGGCCTGTCCAATGGGCCTGGAGTGGACTGATTCTGACTGCTAAGCACAGACTGTTTACCTTAGAACGCCTACATCCTCCCTTCCCTGACGTCAGGGGTGGAACAGGTGTGTTCAGAGGCACCTGTACATCACATCAGAACCTGTCGAGGACGCGCGGCACATTGCCCAGCTGCTGCTTTCTATGTATGGCATCTACCATCCCAGACCCTGCAGCAGGGACCCCACATCTGTTGCTCTTAAAGAATATCAACAGAATTTGTAAGACTCTCATATACCTTTGTTTCTTATACAAATATTACATACTTTCTAGATATCTTGGCCAGCTGCCTCACACGTGTGCTATGCTAACTTTTCTTCACAACAACATGCTTCTTAGCAGCAAAACGTTCCTAAACATGTGTGTGGTATAATGGAACCTATGAAAATATCTTGCAGGGGCAGGAAATGAAGCAGGCAAACAAACGCAGGAGGTGCATCATGTTATGTGTGTAAAAATAGTACTGTAGTGGTTGATCTCAGCAATGGACGTAGCATAGAATGAAAGTAAAGGCCTCAGTTTTAATAGCTGAAACCCTCCAGTCCCAGGTTGTTAGCTAGTTTACGTGCTGCTTTGAGCTGGTGTTACTATATAAAACACGTGAAAGGTGGCATCAAGATGAATGACTGACAGCTGTACTCTTGAGAAAGACCTACCAATGATAGACATCCGCTTCCGGTCACTATTGAAGTCCAAGATGGCAAGAACGTTGTAGGTCCTCTGGGTGCCCATCTCACTAACAGTGATGGTGTTCTGGGTCCTTGAGAGGAAGACGAAGCCAAAGTTCCTGGCGGCGCTGACCAGAGCACCTTCATCGGGCGAGGCTGCCTGATAGTTGAGCTGACCTGAAGAGGGAAGTGGGGAGAGAAGGCCAAGGGGAGAGCTGTCAAACCAACACCACTGTGGGCTCACTGTGCACCAGTGTGGATGATGGGGGGCCGAGCGGGCCCTGCAGGGCTCGACACAGTCCCCCCAAAGTAAGCTATTGACTCCTAGATGATGCCAAGATTGAAATGCCTTAAGCTTTTAAGTTTTGTTCCTAATTATAAACAGTAAAATGAACAAAAACTTACTTAAAAAATAGGAGGAAAAAGCCCAAACCAACCATAAGTCTAACAACATTGAGTTTCTGCCCTAATTCCTTCCCAAGCTTTTAAAATATTCATTTTTGAAGTAGTTCCTATTATACTGAGCATGCCTTCATATTCTGAGTACTTTCAGGGAACATTACATGTTAACATACTGTATTATTTTTAGAACTCTGGTGGAAAGGTCTGTACAGAATCGTGCTGCTGACCCAAAGACTTCGTGTCATCAGTGGTTCAAATCCACCCATCCCCCTCAGGAGCAAGATGGGTACTTCCCTCCTATGTGATTTACAGCCTTACGGACCTGATGGAGGGCTGCTTAAAAGCTGGAAATGACTTGACAGCAGTGAGTGAGTTCTAGCTTTAAAGAAATCACACAGTCAATGCAAAGGAACGTGCTTCAATCCACCAGCTGCTTCATGGGAAAAAGATGGGCAACCAACTCCCAGGCGTTTTCTGTCTTTGAAAATCTGCTGGAGGGTCAGCAATGGGTTGGTTCCGACTTGATGGCCCATAAGCACAGCCTTTACTTTAATGGAAGTAAACATGTCACCATACAAGTGCACTACAGTTCACCATTTTCTCAATAAAGTCCATTTATTTTGAAAATACTCTCCAAAATGGAGACAAAGGCTTGGCCTTAAGTGCAAGTGCCCTCCTGGAGGTCTTGATGACTCTAAACAAGAGGCTTAAATAAAAGCAAGGAAACAATACACAGATCCTCAGCCAAAACAAGACTACCAGCGTACAGAGTGGAATTATATGATGATGTTGTTGTTGTTAAGTACTATCCAGTTTTGATCCTATAACCAAAAGGCTTTAACCTTCTTCTATAACTATTGTCTTTCCTCTACTGTCCTTTCTCTATGTTCACTTTATCATTACAGTAGGAATAAAATTTGCTGGGCCAGTCAAACCTCAGCTTCAGTGACTCAAACATGCTGGAGTATCAGCTACGAGATTGTCTTTTTCTGCTCTTCCCAGATTCTACCCCAATTTGAACTTTGCTGTTACCTTGTTTTATTATTTATATTGATACTTTAAAAAAATTTGTGTGCGTGTACCATCAAATCTGACATGACTCGTACAGGACAAGACTGCCCCTCCTTCTCCAGCAGAGCATCTGGTGGATTCGAATCATGTACCTCTGGTATTGCAGTGCAGCTTCTTGCCACTAGGCCACCAGAACTCCCCACCTTGTTTTATTAGCTGTATCCTGGGAGAGTGAATTTGCTTGAATCTAGCTGAAAGACAGGACACACTATGTCTGTCCACTTGGTTTTTTTTACATCTTTCTCTGGATATTTCATATCTACTACATATGAAATAGAGATCTGGTGGCCTACTGGCAAGAAGCTGCACTGCCATCCTGAAGGTACACAGTTCAAGGCCACCCCAGCTGCTCAGCAGGAGAAAGATGGACAATCTCCTCCCATTCGATTAACTGCCTCTGAAAACCCGCTGGATGGTCAGCTATGGGTTGGTTCTGACTTGACGGTACACAATAACAACAACATATGAAATATGGATCCTCAGTGACATAGTGTGTTACACAATGGGCTGCTAACTCACAGGTTGATGGTTCAAGCCCACTAGCGTCTCTGAGGGAGAAAGACGGAAAATTTCTTCCCATGAAGATTTACAGTTAGTAAACCTGGTAGAGGAATGCTGTGAGTGCAACTGATTTGATGGCAGTGGGTTCTTTAAAAAGGGAGTCTGGCTGGCGCTAAGAGCTAACATGCTCAGCTCCTAAGTGAAAGGTTGGCTGTTCAAGTCCATCTAGAGGCTCTTCAAAAGAAAGTCCAGCAATCTACATTGGGAAAAACCAGCCACTGAAAAGCCCAGCCTGGAGCACAGGTCTATGTTATCACCTGTGGGTTGGCCATGATTTGATGGTAACGGCTATATACTCCAATATACCACCCAGAGATCACTTCATGAGCGTGAGGCAGAAGTGTCATGTCTACTATCATGTACACACCTGAGTCAATCATGTAAATTACCTGTAAACCAAAAAGCACGTTTCCAGTGTCTAAGATGCTACAGCAACACTCACCCTCCTGTCTTTCCACCATGACCGTGTGGCACACCGCGAGCAAGAAAAAGAACTGACGCACTTCAGACTCCTTCCCTGACTGGATTTGCTCAATGAGATAATGGTCGTAGAACACAAGCTTCCCGTCAGTGTATGTGTTCCAGCTAAAATCCACGGGCTGCAAGAAAGGCAGAAGGAGAAGGAGATAGGAGTGAGATTAGCAAGTGTAGCTTACAGCCAGACCAAGGTTACTGACGATGCAAGAAGTGCACAGGAAGAAGGGGTTTAGTAGTAAATGCTGTAACTTAGATGTTCAATTGCTTCACATGCATCTCAAAGCTGGACCAAAAATAAGCATGACAGATGGAAAATTGATGTGTTGGAATTGTGGTGCTGGAGAAGAGTACTGAATATCCTATGGACTCTCAAAAAAAACAAAAAACCAAAACCAAAAAACAAACCAATCTATCTTGGAGGAAGTGCAACCATGGTGCTCCTTAGAGGCGAGGATGGTGAAACTGTCTCAGATACTTTGAACATTTTGTCATGTCATTGGATAAAGACAGGATGCTGGGAAAGGTCAGGGGTCAGTGGAAGAGAGGAAGACCTTCAACTGGATGGATTGACACAGAGATGATTCAGATCTGTGGTTCATAGTTACTGTAAGTCCTAGTCAACCCACGGCACCCAACCACAACATATCATACAGCTTTGCAACATACCGGTAACAACCAAGATAAGAAGGGTTCCACAGATAGAAATGTATTCTTGTATCTGTATACGGAGGTATATGTCTGGGTTGGTGTGTGCTCACACATGCATGTATGTGTATTTGTGAGTATATACATACACGTTTGTGTATTTGCTACTCTCACATTCACATATATGATAAAGTGCTTGGATACTTGGTAGATATAATCAAGCATCTCATGAGATTGATTTACTGGGTTTGAAAGCTGAGAATAAGAGTATCATAGAACAACTCGAACGGTTGGTCCAACACAGCGTTGAAACGATACATATGGAAAATATTGCATTACCTGTATTTCTTTACTCCCTATAGATAAATGCAGAGTTACCTATCTTTTTATAACAGTGGTAAAGGTGAAAGGCACCCGAATCAATTCCTTCCGTGACCAGGGCTCACCTCTATTTTGTTGTGGTTGTGCTGGGAGGCGTCCCGGTGGTCTCCTGCGAAGGAAGAGGGGAGAAGACAAACTGAGTGCCCATCCATGTCCAGGGCGGTCCTGCCTCGCTTTGCTTAGGTGCTCATGACAGTTCATAGCCTGCTTTTGTCCAGCCCTGTGACCCTGAGTGGTGCCTAGGAAGAAAGGCTTGGCGATGAACATCTGAGAAGTCGGCTACTGAAAACCCTTCAGAGCACAGCCCCTCTGACACGCCTGGATGCAGAATCAACTCAGTGGTAACCAGCTGGGTTTGGTTTTTCTTTCATTTTTTTTTCTGGAGCTAAGAATAATTTTTACACTAAAAAAAATGATCAAGACTTGGTGAAACACTGCCTAACAGGGATGAATCTAGAGAAAGGTATGTATGTGGAATGAGATAAATCAGTCCCTAAAAGGACACTCTTATGAAACGTTAAGGAAAGGTTTACATGCAGATATAATCATTCTTGGATAGTGACCAAGGACGAGAAGGGAGGGGGAGGGGAGTAAAAATTAACAACTAGATAAATGAGGTGAAGGGAGAACAATAAATAATAAGGGGCTGATCAGACACTGGAAGTCATTAATTACATCAGTCAACTGTAATGTCAGAAAAGAAAATGTGTATGAATGACGTCAAACCAATGGATGTGTGGACTTTTCTTGGATTAAAGAAAATTTTCCAAATATAAGAAAACAAAGCCAAATCCACCAGATGCTTTGCTGGAGAAGGAGGGGCAATCTCCTCCTGTACCAGTCAGATCCAATTTGATGGTGCACGCACAAAAAATAATAACTTTTTTTTTTAAAAAAAGAAGAAAACAAAGCACAGAAGAATGCATGACAAAGAGCGCAGGTGGCCTGCAGGCCTGCTACATTAACTATTTGCCAAAAAAAGCCTGCTGACAATTGATGTTGGGGTCCAAATACTGAAGCCTGGGTCACTCTAGAATACAGCCTCTCCTCGGGACAGAATCACATCCTAGGCCAGAGAAGTGATGGTTATCATGCACTTGAGAACTACTCCCTCAAACTTCGGGGGTCACTCACATCTTCTCTTGCCTGCCATCAAACTGACCCTGGGCCAATAAGGCCTCATTGCTATGGACTGAAACATCGCGTGGTCCTGTGCTATCCATGATCGTTGACGGACCCTGTCATCCGTAATATCAGCATGGATTGGGTTTTGGAAGTAGGCAGTAAGGCCTTTTTTTCTAGTCTTACTCTGGAAGTTCTACCAACTCTTGTTCGATATCATAGCGACGTGTCAGCCTTTACTGATGGATGCGTGGGGGCTGCCTTGCCTGGGGAAGGAACCCGAGTCTCCCACTTACCGTATATCTGCCCATTGATGCAGCACTTTTTAAAAGTCATGATGTTTTGAGTCAGCGTCCCCGTCTTGTCAGAGAAAACATAGTGGATCTGCCCCAGCTGCTCGTTCAGCGTGGTCGTCCGGGCCTTTGCGGGCGTGTCCTTCTCCACATAGTACATCTGAAGGTCCCAGTTGATGAAATAGCTCTGCATAAGACGAATCACTTCCACACTGGAGGGAAAAGAGGTCCTTTTTGATGATGTGCTAAAGAGCCAACCACTTCTTTATAAGGAGACAAGGAATGACCAGCCTCAACCACGCAGGTCTTCCTCCAGCGCCCACATCAAGGAGATTAGGTGAGGGTTCACCTCCAAGGGCCTTGATTTATGTGCGTGCACTCTTCTTTGCTTCTGAGTCTAAGGGGCCAGAGACACAGAACCCACGCCCGCCAGTCCACAAGGGGCGCAGACAACACAGTACACAGCTAACCAGCACGACAGGAGGTGACAATCCTGTTTTTACTTGTCTCGTTCCCGCCTCACTCTGGACATCCGGACTGGCTGTGTTCACTTTTACCTCTGACTGCAGGGCAAAGGAAAGGAACATCCATGCTATTACTGCCCCTTCTTCTGCCAGCTTGTTTTCAGCCAAGATCCACCTGGCATCATCATTTCCTGAATCTGGTTCTCTATCTTAAACGAAATAGCAGGTCAGCCCCCAAACTAATGAGGACTACCCTCGAGCACTGCAACTTTAAAAAAACCCCATTTGTATGAAATCAACTCCACTCATTACCGTTAGGCAGGAACTGACTCATAGCTGACCCTCCAGTGGGTTTTCAGAATAAGAGATTACACAAGAGACTGCCCATCTTTCTCCCACACGGTAGCTGTGAACTCAAAACACCTGCCTTAGGGTTGGCAGCTACTAACCTACTTGGCTTCCAGAGCTCCAGATATGAAAACAAATGGTCAACAGGTACTCTAACACAGAGAAAAAAAGGGAAGGTTGGTGGTCTGTGAGTCAAGACCAATGGGAATGAAAGAACCAAAAAGGAGAGAACGGTGATGTTGTTAGACCACCGGAAGTATGTAAGCCAGCTCACTGAATAGCACATGCAGAAACTGAATGGAAATGAGTTTTTCTGGACACACTTCTACCAAAAATGTAGTAATTTGTTTTGTTTTGTCTTGTTTTGTTTTTAATCTTTGCTTTTAAGGTAGTTGGAGACAAAACAACCAGTAAATATTTACTATACCACTTGGTTTAAGGTCTCTGAAAAGAACCAACCAAACAAAAACAAAACAAAACAGTGTAAGGTAACAAAAAGACCAACAGGGAAGGAGAGTGAGGCTTAAGATTTAGTTGTATTTTAGGAGAGTGAGACATAAGATTGAGTTGTGTTTTGTTTTATTCTGGGGTTATTTGTGTGTGGGGGTTTTTTCACAGTCTTGTAACTCTCACAGAATTATTGGGCAGGACTATTGACCCAGTAATTGGGGTCGTTGGGGTAGGTGTGTTGGAGACAATGAAATTGGCTCAAGATAGGGCAGGATTCAGAGATACTGTACATAGGGTCACAGGCACATAACAACAACAACAACAAAATAAAGTACATAAACTCTTGCAGTGATTGAAAGTTCACGCAAATAAGGTGGCTGTGGCCTTCCGAGGGAATGGTCAGTTGTGCCGTTCTGCTAGGCCTAAAAGGCCCATTTCCATAGGCAGTGAGAAGGGTTGAACACCACCATGGAGAAGAACCTGAAGGGGAATAATATGTCCTTTAGACCAAGGAGCCAGGATCCTTGGCCCAGAGCCTCCTAGATCCAGAAGGGAAAGAGAAAGCTGATGACAGAGAGAGTTGTGGAGAACTTGCTGCTGTCCTCGGGCATGAGGCCTGCTGAAGAGGAAAACCAGTGGCATGCTAGTCCACGCTGGCCAGGCATCCGAGAGTGTGCCACGAAGACTTCACACTCCACGCCCTGGTCAGTGGAAGCCCGGGGAGTGTGACGGGAGCTGGTAACCAAGGCTTAGGAGGATCTGGCCGTGGAGACTCAGGAGACGCTGTGTAGGAGTTTTCCCGCTGGGGAGCAGAGTGGAAAGACCCAATGCTCCAGGCATCTAGTGGTTCCTGGAAGGAGCAGGAACTTGGGACCTGGCACCTAACCTGAACCTCAGCACACCTGTCCAGCGAGCGATAATGAATGAATGGAAATCCAAAGTCTCTGTAAACTTTCATTGAAATAAATAAAAAAAAAAAAAGGAGGGAAAAAGAAAGAATGGCTATGGGTCATTTGGGGAAGGGATGGGTTTCCCCTTTAGAAAGACACTGTCTTTGTTTAATGTTACATCTTATAAATACTAAATGGCTTTCCCTACGCCAACTCTACGTGTCTTCTGTGTCCAGCTCAGCCGCAGATGAACTTGAATTGTAGACTGACAGATGGCAGTGGCTGTGTGTCTCTTTTCTAGCTGCATACTGGCTGCCCGGAAGTTTGAGGCACCGTCTGCTTGTACAACATGGATACAAAGAGATGCACATTCAGGGTTGGAGAAGAGAGGGCCAATGGACTGAGGTACAGTTCAAACAGTGATCTGAAACATATAAAGAATGACTGCTGTGGACTGAACATACTCTCCCAAGAACACACGCTCAGGGCTGAAGCCCGAGGTAGCTGGGAACGTGACTGTGTTTGGAAGCAGAATCTTCATACAGTTATGATGCAGTCACGCTGGATTTGGGTGGGGTGGGTCCTAATTCAATGACTACTGCCTTATACGACAAAGGTTGGACATGAGTTATTGAAGAGAGAGATGGAGGGAGGAAAAGAAGGAGGAACACACACACATACACACAGAGAGAGAGAGAGAGAGAATGCCATATGGCAATGAAGATACAGCAGAGACGTAAGTCATGTGTCTGTAACCAAGAAAAGCAAAGGATGACCAACAACCACAGAGAACTAGGAAAAAAGGTCTGGGACCAATTCCCCCTCATCCTTCAGAAACATGAGAGAATGTTATTTGGGTTGTTCTGAGGTAAACATTTTGTGGTAGTCTGCTTTGTTCCAGGAAAGCACCACAGGGCTTGTGTGGATGTGGAGGGAAGAATGTTCCAGGCAGAGCTAAGAGCAGGAACCAGGATTCGGGGGTCAGCTCTAGGAAGCATGTGTGGTAAGATCACAGAGAGGTGAGAGCAGGCACAGCAGGTAAGGTCAGGGAAATGGGGTCGGTTGAGCACCAGGCCACATGGGGTCTGTGCACCCTCCATGAGTTTATTCTCAGGGAGATGGAAAGCTGTAATAGGGCTGAGGACAAGGCATGGACACTGTTGTTGTTGTTAGGTGCTATCAGGTCGAGTATAACTCATAGTGACCCTATGAACAACAGATCTGAACTCTGTCTTATCCGGGGCCATCTTCACACTTTCTGAAACATTAGAGGCCATCACTGTGTTAATCCACCTGCTCGAAGGTCTTCCTCTGCTTCGCTGACCCTCCACCCTTCCAAAGCAGGGACACTCTGTGACCAGAACAGCCTGATCCAACTTTGAGCTGACAAAAGATCTTCATTTCCAATAAAAAGAAGAAATTTCTATTCGATTTTTTAAATCCTGATAGCTATAGGACATGGATTTCTTTAAAAACAACAACAACCCCAAATATTATAATTTTTAACATTTATTTCTATTTTGGACAAAATAATCTGCAGTGAGGCTCCCTCCATGAAGATAACACGTGTCTCTGTTCGTTTTAAAGCAGTTGCAACCAGATGGCTGCCCCAGAGCTTTTACTGTATGTTGAAAGAGTGGCGTTAATTACATATAATCAAATTAAAAAGGAAACAAACCCGCATGTAATCAAATTAAAATAAAATAAATGCTTCTAATTAAAGGCATGCACGTGACCCTGTGTGCCTCCGGCTCTTATTTATTAGACCTAAGAAGCACCTCTGACTACGGAGTGTGAGCCCAGGCACACTATGCTGCATAAATCAGTCAGTAATAACGGACTCTGAGAGTAAAGTTAAAAACAATAAAGATCATCAAAGAAGACAATTCATATTTGCCATCAAGAAGGGAAAAGAGAGGAATATCGTCAACAAGACGGATGGATCCGGTGAGTGTAACACCGGGCTCCAGCAAGTTGGAAATCACGAGATGGCAGGCCAAAATTCCCATTCATAGGGTCGCTATGAGTTGTAGTTGACAGCACGTAACACAACAATATCTGTGCTATGATCATTGTTGAGAAATGGATGGAATCAGGACACTGAAGGAGAGCAGTAAGAATTTCATTCTCCTTAGAAGGGAAGCCCTGTGTATTTTCCAAGCAACAATGGGCAGATGGTAAGAAAGAAAGCTTACTTAAAAGGTTAACAATGTTCCTAAAAAGGAAACCTAAACACTACATTTTCACATGGCATTCTAGATCTTCACCTGCTCCCTGGCTCTGCTGTGGACATAGGTTTTGAAGCCCACCTGAGAAGGAATCTTATCAGCAAAAGCAATGGGAGTGGTATCTGAGCTTTGAACTTCAGTTAGCTTATCTGTACAGAGGATGAGATAGAAGTTCTGTGCCTGGCACCAACCAGAAGTTCCTTATGACCTTTGAAACAATCATTACTGGAAATGAAGACGCTACCCTGGGAGTACGTACTACCTTCTTCCTTTAGATCCAGAGGCCGAGGAGGGAACAGCCTTACCTGACATAGAGTGAGATGGGTACCATGGTGTTAAGCACGATGATGTAACCCCAGAAAGTGAGGAATCCACGGTAGGAGGGCGAATAGTCTTCTCCATCATAGAGGTACCAAGAGTAATTGCCCACTTGTGCTTCCCAGTAGGCGTGGCCAATGGCCAGACCAGCGGAGAGAAGGATCAGAACAATAATGATCTGGAAGACAACAAATACTTAAATGCATAAATGTGTAAATGCTATAGACCGATGTCAGTTCTATCAGGCCCACGGGAAACTCACAGCCTTACATGGACTCCAGGACCAAAGCCCCATAATGTTCTTTTTGTGTAAATAATCACAAGATTTTCCAATATATTTGGGCAGAGGCAGCCATGTGTTCCCATATACGCTTCTACTCCAACTTCTTATCAACACACTACATGGCACAACAATTAAAAAGGTGAGTGATTTTAATCCGCAGCCGGGTTCAAATTGTTTTGTTTTTTTTTTTTTTTTTGTTAAACATTCTTCTAGGCGATATAGCACTGGTCTGTGCATTGCTGTACAGAGGAAACTCGTGGTTGCTGTGAAGCTGAACATTGTGACACTGATGTGCCAAACGCAATAATGGTTCCCCATGGTGGACAGTGTTTGGTGGAGTTCCCCGATTAAAACAAGCTCGGAAGCAGGAGTGGCAGCCACTTCCGAAAGGCTTGCCTCCGGAAACTCTATGAACAGTGCTCAGGCCTTTTGATCAGAGGGTCATTATGAGTCGTCTATGACTCAATGGCACCTAACAACAACAACATGGCACAAACCACTGTCTAAACTCTTATAACACTTAGTAGTTTATAAGAAACATATGCATTACAGAATGAATGACAGTGATTATGAATATTTTGCACAGTAACTATGCAGATCACATGTTTTTGAAGGGGAATTCTTAGGGTTCTCTGGTTTGCTAACTGATCATTCAAGTCACCAGAATACCCAACCGACTGGGGCACCTTATCACTGCAGTGTCCTTCCCAAGGGGACTGGTCCTACAGAGCTGTGGCATTTCCATGAAGAGCTAAGCAAACCCTCCTCCCGACCGCCACCAGGGTTTTGTGCTTCTGATCATCTTTCTGCTCAGCTACCGGACAGGCGTTTCCTTTTTCTCAGAACACCCAACAACACGACTGAAGGAAGTTAGCAACCTAGCTCTCATCTGGTGAAACAGAAAAGAAATACCGTGTAGACCATGTAGTTCATCAGGTAGTCAATCTTTGTTCTTTTAAACCTCGTCTTCCCACTGTTCTTCATTATTTTTGTGTCAGCTCCTAGAAATATAAAATCCAATGTGATCAACAATTGGAAAAAAATCAACCTACTGGCATGTCAATAAACGATGCTTCATTTGGCAGGAGCCCTGGTGGTACTGCAGGTTAAGCACTGGCCTGCTGCCTGAAAGGCCAGCTGTTTGACCCCACCAGTTGCTCTGTGGAAGAAAGACAAGGCAGTTTTCCTTGTAAAAGATTCCAAGCTATGCAGACCCAACGGGTCTTCTTTCCCATAGAGTTGATATAAAGCTGTCTTTATGATGATGGATTTAGTTTAGTTTCAATAGACTAGTTGTTGTTGGGTGTCATTAGGACAATTAAAGACTAATAGTGGCCCCATGATAAATAACAGAACTCTCCCACAGAATTTCTTTTAAGGGAGAAGATTATCATGACCTTATCCCTTGGAACTGTTGGGTGGGTTTGAACTGGTGATCTTTTGGCCAGTAGCTGAATGCTTAAACACTGCAGCAGCATCCTTTAGAGTTAGACTGAAAAGCAATCACGTCCAAAACCCTGAAAGTCTATTCCAGCTCAATCCCAGGAGCTCCGACGGTACCTGCGAAAATGACCAACCCGTGGCAGAAATCAGTGTTCCTGATCACGCAGCCACGCAGCAAAATTTTATCAGCATCTAAAGGAAAACTCGTGTTCCTCCAGAAGAGTGTCCCCGTGAATTTGTCCAATCTGTTATTGGGTTCTTCACATTCAATAAAACCTTAAAACAAAATAAGATGAGTCATAATTAAACACATATGAAAAATTTTCCAGTTTTAATCGGTAAATATTGAGTCACGCGAGTAAAATTCACAACAAAGTAAGACATGTTTGTACAAACCATCAAATTTTGCCAAGGCATTTTCTTTTTGGAGAGCCTGATCTGTTACTTCAAGTGCCATTTTGAACTTCAAATTGGTTTCTCTGGGGAAGGAGGACCAAAAAAAAAGAAAGAAAGAAAGAAATGACCCCATTAGAGGCATTAAAAAAGCAGTTTAAAGAAAATCACACACACACACACACACACACACACACACACACACACACACACACACACACAAATAAAAAGAAAATAACACTAAGGCGAGGTATTCTAGCCAGGAAGCAAAACCCAAATAATTCGTTTTTATTTCCAAGCTCTCTGTTCACCATGGAACTTGAGGATTGGATGAGGTGACCCCCTGAAAAAAGTTCCTCACCTGGCAAAAGTTGGTCTTCTTTAAACTGTACTTAAGACAAAGGGGCTCACACCTCTCATACGATCTTTTGCTTCTTCTTGTTGTGTATACCCTTGAATTGGAACTGACTCACAGCTGACCCTTCAGGAGGTTGGCAGTAAATCATATGGGAGAAGATTGACCATCTCTCTCCTGTGCAACAGCTGGTAGATTCAAACCATGTGCCTTTGGGATCGCAGCACAGCTCCTTACACCAGGCCACCAGAGCTCTCTATCTTTTGCTTAGTAACCTAATTTCTTATCACTTGGCTAGATGGTCAAACTACTGCTTAAAAATGTAACTTATAATAGTTAATCAAATGAAGAAGTTTATTTATTTGTTCTGGACATGGTGCATCAAAATACATAAAGTAACCGGGACCCATTAAACACTGTACACAATTTGAACTCTATTTTTACTCAGTGGTAGTATAATAATCCAAACCTACAAATTCAAAATTGCCTATTGGCAAAGAATTTTTTTTTAGGAGAAGATTTTTCAGAGTTATTTTCTGGAAAATAAGGCATACTCTTAAGAGCCATTTATATTCAGAGAAGAGCTGGGAGTGGAAAGTATCCTTTGGAATCAGGGTTCTTGTGCTGAGAACCTTGTAGACACAAGATACACCGATGGCAGGACACATGGAGATTTCCAAGGAACAAAGGGTTCCCAGATGTTGCAAGAGGTGAGGCCCTTTGTCCATACTGGGGGAGGGGGGAGGAGGGAGAAAAAAGGGGTGTGAGGAAGTCTCCCCCTAGAACTAACTGGCACCCTGCATTAGCACGTCTCTCCTCTTAGACTGAAAGAATTCATTTCTTTTTATTAAAGTAGGAAAAAAGTCACGTCTGTTTGTCTGGATACGGCTCAGCAGTTTATAAAGGGCTCTGGCACATATTCTTATATTTGAGCTTTTTCCCTTTCCTGAGAAAAGGCAGCTATTGAAAGCTGCACTTTATAGAAGGAAAAAGACGTTGGTCTAGTGGGAACGGTGAATAGTGGTCTGACAGCCAACCAGTGGCAGAGGCAAAGCCTGAACTGACTTCTCCCAGACTGCACCGATGCAACAATCACAGGTAAGTTACAAAAAGGGCCCCTCTCAGGTACACGTACCCGTCTAGCTCAGCAGTTTCCACATAGCAGAGGCTGTGGGGTTCAGAGCTGGAGAGCAGCAGAATGTCCGCCTGTGTCAAACAAAACACACCAGTCACAAGAGGCTCTCCCCAGGAGACATCAAGCGCCAGGACACAGAGGAGAACAAGGAACAAGTAAGGATTCACTTACTGGAATGAAATCATTCTTTTTCAGACGAATGACATCTCCAACTTGAACCTCTTTCCACTTGGTGACTTTGAATCTAAGGATGAAACATAACAAAAGTCAGCTGGCTTCGAAAAGCTCCTGGCAAGGGGTTTGGAATGATTGTTGCTGAGTGCCAAAGATTCCGGGAAATGTGAGATCCGCAAGGGGAACATTTGTGAAAAGTTCAGCCGTTGGATGATGCAGCTACATTAAGTGAGAATCCTATGACTGTCAAAACAATGCAGTGATTCTGGAGACGATGAGAACATCACTAAGTCACAAAAATTGGCTTGTACTTGACAAAGCATGCTCCTTTTACCACGTGGCCATCACTGTGACATAGGGAAGTGTCATACTGGGCACACTGGCCCATTCTCCCCCTTGTTCTGTCCTGCTTTCTGAGAGATTTATGCCCAGAAAGGGGCACGTTCTGCCCTATTTGCCCCCTCGCTCCCTGACTCTGCTCAGATTCAGCCAAAGAGAGAGAGCTGGAAGGTGACAAGAGAGTGACTGATGTTCTTCTGCCTTCTTCCTTCAAAGGCTGCATTTCTGGCTCTGACCATCTCCATCCATGACCCCAGCTCCTGCAGGCACGCTCCCCCAACAGCCCTGTCACACTGTATTCTTTCCTCCTGTTGTCCTGTTGGAAGCAGCAATGACTTCAAGCTGCCTCTAACTTCAGCATAGACATCTTTACATGTTGCGTCCTGCCCACTGTCCGTCGGATAAAGTCTCCTCTTGGCAGAACCTGAGATGGATTCTGCTTCTTGTCAAGATCCGGCTCACACATGTGGGTAGGCAGTGGCATCTCAAGTTGTATGGGATCAAATCACAGAGCTTTGCAATGGCTGCTCTCTTCTGAAACTTCTCTGTACTCTATCCACCATCATTCCGTGCCGCCACAATGGTGCGCATGAACGTCCTGGCTGACGCTCTCAAGAACATCAACAACACCGAGAAGAGAGGCAAGCGCCAGGTTCTTACCAGGATGTGCTCCAAAGTCATCGTTCGGTTCCTGACCGTGACGATGAAGCATGGTGACATTGGTGAATGTGAAATCATTGATGATCACAGAGCGGGGGTAATTGTCAACCTCATAGGCAGGTTAAACAAGTGTGGCGCTCTCAGCCCCAGATTTGATGTGCAGCTCAAAGATCTAGAAAAATGGCAGAATCATCTGCTCCCGTCCCATCAGTTTGGTTTCATTGTACTGACAACTTCATCTGGCACCATGAACCACGAGGAAGCAAGACGAAAACACACAGGACAAAAAGTCTTGGGATTCTTTTTCTAGCGATGTAATAAACAGTGCAAATAAAAAACAAACAAAAAAACCCTTCTCTGTACTAGGGAGTTCCGGTGGCCTAGTGGCAAGAAGCTATGCTGCAATCCTGAAGGCATGCGGTTCGAATTCACCAGATGCTCCGCTGGAAAAGGAGGGGAGATCTCCTCCTGTGCCAGTCGGATCTGATTTGATGATATAAAGAGAAAGGAAACTCTCTGTACTTATTTACTAAATGTTCTGCATTCCTTCATGGTGTTCTTCTTTCTCAGTGTTCTTTCCACCCTACACCAACGTGACGGAGGACTCAGCAGGCGCTGTCTACATGTGTGTCTGGTGCCCACGAAGTATATCCAGGCTGCACTCTGGTTTTTCTCATACCCTTCACTCCTTCTCCCCATTCTCTTCCATCTGAGCTGTCTGGCAGAGTTCTTCTCCTTTGAGGGGAGACAGAGATCTGTCTATGACAACTTTGTAGACCCAAAGAGCAAGTGCAGAGCATACTGTGATTTCATTTTTGTGTATGTGTATATAGATGGGGGGCAGAGGTCTGCAAGGTCATAGATACTAGTCTGTTCACAGCCTTCTGGAGAATGAAGCTGGAAATATGGGCATAAAACTGAAACTTTTCTATTTTATAACTATTTTTGGTTGTATGTATTACTTTTATAATAACTGTAATAAGAATGATAAAATGTAGAATAAAATAAAGATTACTACCTTCAGTATTAGACTCTGCAGAAATCACACATTTACGTTTTTCAAAAGTCAAGATTTGAGCAAGTTTTAAAATGCAGTGCTCTGTCTCAAAGGTGTTCATGGAGGGGGACATACCCACACATCATTAGGAAGACACCGCAACTAACAATCTTGGGGTTCGGGGGAGGAAGAAACCCAGAAGCTATGGTCCCCCCCCAATTAGTTTACAGAAAAGGAAAAAAAGATCTGGGGTTTCAAAGTGTATACTTAATGTTTTAATTTCTCCAATTTTATTAGAACATAGTAAAAACCTGGCCTATATTTTAAGAAATGGAATGACTGTACTTTATATTTCATTATCTGAAGTTATAAATCAGCAAGTGATTGGATGGTATGGTGTGTATACATAATGCGTTGGGCTGCTACTTGAAAGGTCAGCGGTTTAAATCCACAAGCTGCTCCTTAGTGCAAAGAGGCAAGAGTCTCCTCCCAAAAAGATTTACAGCCTTGACCACTTGCTGCAGGGTGACCATGAGTCAGAAGCGAGCAGATGGCAGGTTTTGATTTCTTGTCATATCTCTTAGGGACTATTAAAGGCAGTCCTGTGGACTCCTGTACTGTGATGGGACAGCTTCCTGACGAGGTTCTGGCCTTCCCTGAGCCACAGATGTCCAACAGTGTCCACACAGGCTTGGCTCCACCGTGGGAGGCTCTGGGATCATCCTTAGTCTTGAAGAAACTCTGGGCTCCTGTTTATTGGTGTGGTCTATCAATATTGTGGGCTAATGGCATTCTGTGGACAGGCTGTGGATCTCACCACCACTCCTAACACTGACTGTAGGTGACTTGAAAGGTAATATTGGAACTTAGCTGGTTTTTTTGTGTGTGGAGGGGAGAACTGTCCTGAAGTGGATAAAAATTGCTGCATTCTATATTCAAAACAGGCCTGTTAATATGCAGCTGTAAACAGGCTACTTTTTTCCATATTGACCCTCAAAATGTCTTAGAATTGGGCTTTAGTCATTTTATTTTTAACACTTGAAGCTCATGTTCTGCATTAAAAGTTCTTGCTAAAAAAATAAGTACTACATTGGTACTGTCAGTCACGGTTGTCTGCACCAAGTGAACATTCATCGAGCACTTTCTCTATATTAGAGTTCTGGTGCTGGAGTGTGGACATGTTGGCTGCTAAGCAAAAGGTGGGCAGTTCTAATCTTTAGCTCTGCCCTTTGAGACAAAGATGAGAAACTTCCTTCCAAAAAGAATTAAAGCCTGACAAAGCCAACGGAGGGTCACCAGGACAAGAGTAACAAAGTGGGCGCTGGAAAGGCTCCCCCCCCCGTACCTGCCGTCCTTGATGACTTCACATGTCCTGTTGTTTATCTCCCTGTCCATTTTATGACGAGCCTTTAAAAGGGAGATGGGTGAGCGTTATTTCAAAACTCTTCAGAGGGGAGATGCTCATACCCATTAAAAATGAGCTCAGCACCATCTAGAGAGCCGGCAGGAGGGATCCTTACCACGTCGTCCACCAGGTCTTTGATGGCGGTGATGCCAAGCACCAAGAGCAGGGGCACGAAGGTGGTGTACCAGGCCAGCGTGCTGATCTGAGGGATCGCCTGGGAGAGAAAGCAAGCACGCACACGTGTTCAAGAAGGCGCGTGCAGCACACAGGGAATGATAGCCAATGCCACCTCACTCCCCATGTCACACAAGTCTCCACCCTGCAGAACACACAGGAAGAGGACCCACCAAGTCAGCCCCACAGACTCCCTGCTCCACCTTTGGCCTCCTGCGGCCGCGCGTGGGGCCATGGCTTCTGAAACCTCCTCTCTGTGACCTCACCTGGACACTGATGTGACTTTGTAACCTGGTACCTAACAGATAAACTACAGCAATTTTACTTGACGTCATCAGCTTTGCTCTTTGTAGTGGATATTCTTACTTTTTGAGAGTTTTATCTTATTGTGCTCAAATGCATCCTAACAAAATCATCTACTTTAAGCATATTTTTTTAAATTTTTATTTTATTGTTTTCTGTGTGTGTATACCATCAAATTGGATCTGACTGGTTTAGGAGGAGATGGCCCCTCTTTCTCTGGCAGAGCATCTGGTGAATTCGAACCACATATCTCTGGGATTGCAGTGCAGCTTCTTGCCACTAGGCCACCAGAGCTCCCCTTACTTTAAGCATTTTTAAATGCACAGTTGAGTGGCATTGGCTGCTTGGATCACATATAATCCTCACTGAGACTTTTTCACCACCTTAAGCAGAAGCTCAGTCCCCTCCCAGCAGTAACACCCAGCTTCCCCGAGCACTGCTAACTTTAGTCGACTTCCTGTCTTTGAGAATTTGCCTATTCTCGATATTCTGTACAATACGTGGAGCTGTCTTTTCCTCACTAAAAGGAAATGAGGGCAAAAATAGGCCCCTTCCCACGTGGAGCGTTTCTGCCTGCACACACCCATCTCTGGCTTTCTCCTCGATTGTAAGGACACTCCCCACTATCAAGTCAACCCACTGCCACTGGGTCAATTTTAACTCCCAGCGAGTCATAGGAAAAAGAACTGCCCCGTGGGGTTTCCAAAGCTGTAAATCTTTAGGGAAGCAGACTGTCCCACGTTTTCCCTAAAAGTAGCTGGTGAGTTTGAACCAAGAACCTCCCTGTGGGCAGCGGAACTCTTTAACCACTGTGCCACCAGCCTTCTTTACTATTAACTTGGCAAACTCGACATTCTATTCCATCTTCTGAGGATCCATTTCTCTCTTGTATCTTCTCTTTTTCTTCCCCATGTTTCTCCTGTGCCACTTAGATGCCCACACTACAATTCTCAGAGAACCCTTATGGCTTTAGTAGTTGGGGTAGATGGAGAATTTTTCTAAAGCCACTATTTGATAGAAATATTAGATAAAACAAAACAGCTACACCTGTGTCCTCTGTAACCTGCACATCAGGTGCCAAAAGTCGGTCCTCTGGGATCCAGCTAGAGTGAGCTATTCCCTTGATTAAAACAGCTATCACCCCAAATTTTTGACACCATATGCTGCAGGGGGTGAGGGTGTAAGATGAATGCTTTTCAGATATTGTAAATACTCAGCTAAATTAAGGGGGTGGAGGAAGAACTCAGACACAAAGGGAGCTTATTCCAATGTGAAAAAATCAGTCCACAAAAGTAGTTTTTAAAAAAATTTTTTAAAATTAATTTTTGTGTGTGTACCATCAAATCAGATCTGACTGGTACAGGAGGAGATTGCCCTTCCTTCTCCAGCAGAGCCTCTGGTGGATTTGAACTGCACAACTCTGGGATTGCAGTGCAGCTTCTTGTCACTAGGCCATCAGAACTCTCCCACAGAAATAGTTCTTGAGATACATGACCAAGATATTAAGAAAAATCAACAATGACCTTGAGGAAATGAAGTCTTCTAAGTATAAAAATAAAGGGCAAATACAAAAAGAACCTTAAAATGCTAGGAAAGAAAATAATAATTTTACAAAGTAAAGATTTTTGTTCTCTTCACTTTGGGAAAGTCAGTTTTAACCGTCCCATCAGTATGAAATAAATGCTTAACAAAATCACAGAATGCAAAACTTCCATTTCCATGAGTTCCTTCTCCATCATTGCTTTAACAGTTGTCAAGCTGGTCTTTCTGTGTAGGAGGCGCTGCTCCCTCCAAACCCCTGAAGTTCACTCACACAGAGCTCACATTATCCACACTCCATGCTTCTGCAACGCTGAATGCTCATGCGTCACCCTAACTGGAATCAGAGCTGACGTATCAAAGGCCATTACCTGCAAGATAAGCAGGACCAGGAAATAGAAGTTGGCTGCTCGCTTAAACTGCTCAAACAGATTCATGGGCAGAAAGGTAAACGCATTGTACTTGTAAGTTTTAATTGCATTATTCTGTGGGAAGAAAAAAAAAGTCATTCTAACTGATGTCATATAATATGGTGACTGTTACAAACCAAAATCCCAACGACATTCACTCTGACTCAGTGACCTGTATAGAACAGAGTAGAATTTCCCCATAAGATTTCTAAGACTGTACATTTTTTTTAATTCTAATGAACATTTACAGAAATTATGGATTTCCATTCATTCATTGTTGATTTTTTTCTCCCTGTCCCCCCCTCCCCAAGTTCTCTCCTCTCTCTGAAAAGTGAAACAAAACCTCCTTCTTTGGTACACAATCCCCCTCCCCCCCTCCCCAGTACACTTCACTATGCAACTTTCACTCTGGACTCCTGTCATAATAACCAATCATATATCGCTTTTCAACTGTTCTCTCCCTCATCTGTTTCAATGCAGTATACATAATTTATCCAATTTTTCTCAGTCTCACCCCAACCTTGATGTCAGTCCTGTTCTACAACAGTAGCACTGTGCAGTATTTGTCCTTTGTGACTGAGATATTTCACTGAGCATAATGTCCTCCAGGGTCACCCATTTTGAATAATATTGCATGAGTTCCTTGTTTTTCAATGCAGTGTAGTATTCCATTGTGTGGATATACCATAGTTTCTCTATCCATTCATTTGTTGATGGGCACTTAGGTTGTTTCCAACTCTTTGCTATTGTGAACAAAGTCGCAATAAACATGGGTGTGCATATATCTGCCTGGGTGGCAGTTATGGTTTCTTTGGGGTATATTCCCAGTAGAGGAACTGCTGGGTCAACTGGTATTTGTATTTGCAACTTTTTGAGAAAGCACCATACAGCCTTCCATAGTGGTTGCACCATTTTACACTCTCACCAACACTGAATAAGTGTTCCAGTTTCTCTGCAACCTCACCAGCATTTGTTGTTTACTGCTCTATTAGATTTTGCTATTCATAAGACTGTACATTTTTACAGATGCAGAAGCCATATTTTTCTTCTATGGAGAAGTTGGTGGGTTTGAACCACTGACTTTTTGGTTAGCAGCCTATCACTTTAACCTCTGTGTTGCCAGGATTCCTGGATAATATCTCCGCATGTGCAAAAAATTTTCAAGTCCCATGATGAAGGGGCATAATATGCCAGTCAAAAAGGATCAAAAGATTTCCTTTAAGCTTTTAGCTGTGACGAAGCCTCAGCATGACCACTTGAAAGATTTAGTGAGAGAGAATAATAAGATTTCACTTCAAACAAAGTCCCTGAGAAAACAGACCTCGTGAATACTGTCAGGTTCCCTGGTTCATCAAAACCTCTCCGAAAACAAGGCAAAGGTACAAGTTAACAAGCAGAGACCCACTACTGCTCTCTGGACATTCGAAGGGAGAATGATGTTGACTTGGGCAAAGCAGAAATTTTCCTTAAGCTGCAGGGGGCTTACTATATAATAGAATATAAAAGATTTCATCACTACTTACAGGACTCAGCCCACAATTAACAGGTGTTCTGAAGTAATAAAAATGTTTTTAGTTGCCATAAGCAGGGGCATTAAAGGTATCCTAACCACTTTTTTGGGGTGTGTGTTTGTTTTTATCTTTATTTTCTAATGTGTACCGTCAAATCGGATCTCACTGGCATGGGAGGAGATTGCCCTTCCTTCTCCAGCAGAGCATCTGGTGGGATTGCAGTGCAACTTCTTGCTACTAAGTGACCAGAGTTCCCTCTTGAACATTTTTTTGAGGTGAAAACATCTTCAAGGTCTCCAAATCCCCACAGGTAGAAGACAGGGGACAGGAGAAATTAATACACCCTTCAAATTCATTTTTCACACTCGTTAGGACTTTCAAACACAAGACTTCTGATCTTTTAGGGTGATCTTTCATAAAACGTTTTTCATAGGGCTCTGCACATAACAGTGAGAAGCTGTAAATCTTGAATATCTTATTAACAATGAGGAAGCTTTCAAAGCCACTTCACTCTCAGAGGAGTTGAAATTACTGGATGAACAGAAGTGGAATTGTATAGAAGAAACAACAGATTACTAACAGTCACAAGTCAATGACTACGTAGCAAGAAGATGTACCACGAAGTAAACAAGTATTAGGTATACTAAAAAGAAATAATAATAAAAATCTGGCTTTTAATAAAGGTAATCTTGGACATTAAAAATCAATTTACCCAAAACAACTATGAGATATCATCTCACCCCAATCAGAATAGCAAAATTTAACAAAACAGCAAACAACAAATACTGGCAAGGTTGCAGAGAAACGGAAACCCTTATTCATTGTTGGTGGGAATGTAAAATGGTGCAACACCACTGTGGAAGGTGGTGTGGCACTTTCTCAAAAAGTTGCAAATAGAGGAAATACCATTTGACCCAGCAATTCCACTACAGGGAATTACACTACTGGGAATATACCCCAAAGAGACCATAACTGCTGCCCAAGCAGATAAATGCACACCCAAGTTTATTACAGCTTTGTTCACAATAGTAAGGAGTTGGAAATAACCTAAGTGCCCATCAACAAACGAATGGATAGAGAAGCTGTGGTATATTCACATAATGAAACACTATGCTGCATTGAAAAACAAGGAACTCATGCAATATTATTCAAAATGGGTGACCCTGGAGGACATTATGCTGAGTGACATATCTCAGTCACAAAAGGACAAATACTGCATGGTGCCACTGTTGTAAAACAGGACTGACATCGGGGTTGGCGGGAGACGGAGAAAGATAGGTTTAATAATGTATACTGCATTGAAACAGATGAGGGAGAGAACTGTTTAAAAGGGATATGTGATCAGGTATTTTTGTCTTGACAGGAGTCCAGAGTGAAGGCTGCACAGTGAAGTGGACCTGGGGGAAGGGATTGTAAAACAATGAAAGAATTTTTCTTTTACTTTTCTAAGAGGGTAGTGTACTAGGGGGGAGGATTGGGAGGGGAGAAAAGTGCAACAATGAATGAATGGAAATCCAGAGTCTCTGTATATTTTCACTGAAATTAATGATGATGATGATGATAATAATAATAATAATAATAATAATAATAATAATGATAATATCAACTTACCGCATATTTGCTTTCCTTAATACAAAGGAACTTCGTGTTCATGAAGTGAGGTTGTTCGTGGAAGCTTCGATCGTTCGCTTTGACTTGCCACGTACAGTCTTGAAAAAACAAAAGAGGGCAAGAAGCCTCAGTAGAGAATTAATGTGTCTGGCAACTTCACAAGTTGCTAACAGAACACTTGCTTTCTTTTCAGTTGTTGCTGATTCTATGCCAACTCATGGTGGCCCCAGGTGTGCCTCTGAGGCTGAATTTTAGGAGGCAGATTGCCAGACATTTCTTCCACAGCACCTCTGGGTAGATTTGCACCTCTGATATTTGGATAAGCAGTTGATTACCTAAAGCTTTTGCACCACCCAGGGACCCCCTCACAGACCATCAGAGCTCTAAAGTAATCTTCACGTAAGAACAAAAAGCCAATGGTCCCTAACGTTCCCAGCTAAAGGAAGGAATGTTTTTGTGGTTTGTTTTCTTTTTTTTTTTCTTAAAAAAAAAACCAATCAGATTTCATTTCTAAAATTTATAAAACATTAAATATTCAATGGATGTGGGGGGTTGGGGATGATTCTTGTCGGGCCTGGCATCCTGATTCCAGGTCAGGGTTGTACATACCGCTTTCACTGACCCCCAGACTCTGAGAGTGTCACGTTCACAGTGCCAACTGAGTTCAGTCCATTCAACCACTATGCCTATGTTCCAGAAACTTCCAAGCAGCATCAGCTGGAGAGAACAGTGCTCATATCCCCCTGCCCCAACTCTCCAAAAATCAAACCCACTGACACTGAGTCCACTGTAACTCACAGGGTGGCTGCAGGACTGAGGAGAACGGCTTCATGGGTTTGGAAGTAGACGGTCTCATCTTTCATCCACAGAGCAGACAGCAGAGTGAAACCACCAGCCTTTAAGTTAGTGGCCCAATGCTTAACCCAGGGCTCCTTTTTCATACTCCCAAAACCCTAAATCAAACCCGATTCTGACTCCTCACAGCTTTCTATCAGGTTTTTTAGTGTCCCATAAAATACTTCTCTCTGCTTCCCAATCCCACCACCTCTGTCCAACCTGGCTGGTGCTACGTGGTGGTGGTTTCCTCCCACAGTTTTGAATGTGGTGGTCTCTCGGCTTTGTACAATGACTTGCAATGCTCTCAGAGCCCCTTCTGCACAATTTCCTGAGGACACTTCCTCAGACTGCCACGCTGCAGACAACCCTGCCCCAAATGGCCATGTTCATTGTCCCCTGGATTTTCTGCACGGTTTATAATGCATGCATCCCCAGACACGTGCCGTTTGGTCTTGCTTTTCAACTCTCCCATGTTTATGCCTCTGTGACTTGCTTCCCTGTCAACATTATGGGAGGAGACGTTCATTTCACCAAAGGTGCATAAGCAGTATTGTCGCATTTAAACTTTCTTTTTTTTTTTTTATTTTTTTTTTTTTTTTTTTTATTATTTTGTGTGTGTGTGTGCGCGTACCGTCAAATTGGATCTGACTGGTACAGGAGGAGATTGTCCCTCCTTTCCCGGCAGAGCATCTGGTGGATTTGAACCGTGCACCTCTGGGATTGCAGTGCAGCTTCTTGGCACTAGGCCACCAGAGCTCTCCTCGCATTTAAACTTTCTGTTCTGATGAAATTTGCACTTGGGCTAGAAAACATGCTCTGAGCATTGCCATTTGTAACAACACAGATACACAGTGATGATCAGTCAAATTGTAGCTAAAGCCACACTAGGGAAAACGCCAATAAGGAAATTACAATTTAAAAAAAATGTAATAAAGTTCATTATTTGTATTCTTCAGTAATCTGTATTTACTTTTTCGCAATATTATTTATGACTTATGGAGTGTATCTTCATTAGCTACTTAACCAAGGAAAAGTTTCCAGTTAATTTCAGAATTCTCACTGCAGTCAAGGAATCAATAAACCTGTTTCCAGGTAAGGCTCCCTGCTGGATTAATTCAGAAAAGCCAGCAAGCAATCAAATAAAATCTACTCCCACTTCTGTGCTGAACTCAAAGCTAATTGTTGGGGCGGTGTTTCAATCAAAGATCATAAGAAGGAGGTGAAGACAGTTCTCTCATTTGTAGGGACAGCAAACTGCATTCTTCGTTGGCCAGTCCTTGAATACACTGGGACAGCAAAGTTCTGAGAGGGCCTGCAGTGAAGCAACATCACATTTCAGTGGCCATATGGCCGTACATTTTAAAGTCACAGAACGTCCATCAACATGGCTTGAGAAACACCACACTAAGAACCTTAGCAAGGCAGCAAAATTAACATTTGTGCTCATTTGCCTTTCCGATCAAATCTTTTCTATGGACTAGAGAACTCTGCTAGACACTTGGAAAAGAACAAATTTTCCAGCAAAAAGATGCAACTTCACCAAATGGCCCTTTAGATCGACAAGGAACAATGCATGGACGCGTCTTGCAAAACTATCAACCACTTGTCCAGTCAGGCACTTAGAGGGGTCAGACATAGCTCAGAGTTACCCCTGGATTCTAATAGATGCTTATGTCACTCATACATGAAAACACCATTAGGAGTCTTGATGACATAATGTGTTACATTTTGAACTGCTAATCAAAAGGTCATGAGTTCAAATCCACTAGACACTCTGAGAGAGAAAAACGAGTAGTCTCCTATAAAGATTTCTCTCATTGCTGTCATGTCCGAACTTGCTCTTTGCTGACCTCCCACGGGGCCTCTGAGCTTGTAAACTGCATGAGAGCAGATTGCTCATTGTTCTCCCATGGAACCTTGAGTGGATTTGAAAGACCAGTTTGCCACCAGAACTCCCTTGAAAGAACTCCCTCTTACGGGCTTGAGAACCCAGCGGAAGGTCACCATGAGGCAGGACTGACGTGATGGCAGTGGGTTAAACGGTTTTCAGAGCTCCTGGGTGATTTGAAGGTCTGAGTTCCCTCAGAGACTTCCTGGAGAATCAGCCTGGCAGTGAACTTGTGGGGAACCCAGCCACTGAAAGCCTGTGGAGCACTGTTCTATTCTGACACGCAGGGGGCCACCCTGGGTTGGGGTCGACTCCACGGAAACCGTCACCAGCACAGAGATCTCCAGAGCGCTCCTGGGTTCATCACATCCTCTGCCCGTGGCCACCCAGAAATGCTCCAACACAAAGAACTGGAAGCGAAGCTCAGCTTCACCATGGCCACTCACTTCTCACTCGGAATCTTTGCCTCTAGACTCACCAAAGACCATAAAGCTACACTGGCTGATGTAAACCCAACCAGCAAGAAAAGGCACAAGCTAAAACCATTATTGTAGAAAGAGTATAAGGATCCAAGAGGGGTGGGAGACGGTGGAAGCAGAGGGATGAGGATGTGTGGATGTGTGTGTGGGGGGAATTAATCATGGGGTTGTACAATTTGATGGGGGCAACTGAAAAAATTTGTTCTTAAAAACAATGTATTTTAATTTTGTAAATAAACTAGTAGAAAAATTTAAGAGGGGAAAATGGCCATATAACCTGAAGAAACAGTTACCAAAAAGGAAATTCGAATGGCCCTGGAAAGACATTCCAGTTCCTAAGAGAAATGTGATCCAGTGCTGTAGGGAGGCACAGATTTTTATCTACTATGTTGACCGAGATGAAAAGGTTTGATGATGCATAGGGTTGAAAGGGCGGACAGACCCTCTTCGTCACCTCTGATTAGATGACACAGCTGACTGGATGACATGAGGTTCCCATGAGCGGAACATCAAGTCAACGGTAGCTAATATCACCACCATCATAAAACAAGACTCACTCCCTTCCAGGACTTTATCCCCCAAACACATGCAATAGGAGACCTGCTGGTATAACGGGGAAAGCATCCAGCTGGCAACCCAAAGGCTGTAACCAGCAGCTGTGCCTAGGGAGAAAGATGAGGCAGTCAGCATCCCGGAGATTTACAGTCCAGAAAATCCTGGGGATGGTTCTCCTCTGTCATCCAGGGTCACTATGACCCAGAATAGACTCAACAGCCGTGGGCTTTTAGAGATACAGATGCGTGGGAGAGACCACATAATCCAGGGCGACTGAGTACAGGACCACAACTACCTAGTTACAAGTACTCAGTGGACTTGCGTGAGAACAACAAGAGGCAACGAAAACCCACAACCATGTGCCGCTGGTTAAACATTCAGACAACGGAAGCCTATGCAGCCAGTAAAAATAAATGATAGAAAGCCACAAGGCAGAGTTGTGTTACGTGCTGAGAGGGAAGGTGTCCAAACTATACTGATGGGGAACTCTGGTGGCCTAGTGGCAAGGAGCTGCAACTATAATCCCAGCGCGAACGGTCGAATCCACCAGATGCTCTGCCAGGGAAGGAGGGACAATCTCCTCCCGTACCAGTCAGATCTGATTTGACGGTACATGCACACAAAAAATAATAAAAAAAACAAAACAAAACAAACTATACTGCTTGGGGGGAAACCAGAGGATGCCTACCCTACTGTGCTTTCCACTATTTCAAATAGAGAATTAATATATAATATGAACACATTCTTGAGCACATGCATGAACATGCGTACTTATGTGTGTGGGTAAACCTTCCCAGCTGATTCCAACTAGTACTGAGCCTTCAGGACAGAGAAAAATGGCCCCATGGGGTTTCCAAGACCGTAATCTTTATGGAAGCACACTGCCACATCTTTCTCATGCAGGGCAGCTGGTGGGTTTAAAATGCATATCTTTGATTAGCAGTTGAGCCATTAATCACTGCATCATCAGGCCCCGTATGTGTACGTGTGTGTATTGGTATGCAAGGGTGCATACTTACATTCCTTTATTATTTTCCCCCATACTTACATTCTTTGCACACACTCAAGTGTGTCTACCCCCTGGACAGACATACAAGACCCAGGTAACAACTGCTGCATTCTGGGAATGGAGCCTGCATGGCTCAGAGACAGAGCTGGGGGAGGGAGACTTCCTTTCTCCATGCACCATTTCAGTCATTTGCCTGTACAGTCATCCTTTGATATCTTTGGTGGACTGAGTCTAGGACCTCAGGGATACAAATATCCACGGATGCTCAAATGCTTTATATGAAATAGTGTGGTCCTGAGCATCTGATATACTTGACCTTCTCACATACTT